TATAGAACAACTAATTAGTATCCTTCAAAAGCGTTGAAATCACAAAAAACAATGAAAGAGTGAAAAATAGCCACAGGTTGGAGGAGATGTAACAACTAAATGCAATGTGTAATTCCAAGAAGGGATCTTGGAACAAATAAATAAATAAATTTCAGTGAGTGAAAATACACATCCACTCCAGTTAGTAGTATTATACCAAGGTTAATTTCTTAATTTTTCTATGATTATGCTAAGATGTTAACATAAGGGTAATGTGGGTAAAGGGTATATGGAAATTCTCTGTACTAATTTTGAAATTCTTTTGTAATTTTAAGATTATCTCAAAATAAGACTTTTTAAAAAAACTTATGACTCAAATTGGACCTACTATTTTAATGCTTATTAAAAATTACTTTCCTGGGCTGGGGTTGTGGCTCAGTAGTAGAGCAGTTGCCTAGCATGTGTGAGGCCCTGGGTTCGATCCTCAGCACCACACACACAAAATAAATAAAAAATAAAATTTAAAAAAAATTACTTTTGGGCTGGGGATGTGGCTCAAGTGGTAGCGAGCTCGCCTGGCATGTGTGCGGCCCGGGTTCGATCCTCAGCACCACATACAAACAAAGATGTTTGTCCGGCGAGAACTAAAAAATAAAAAAATATTAAAATTCAAAAAAAAATTACTCTCCTGAGTAAGATAGAAAGACTATTTACTTCAGTGATATATTCAGTTTATTTTTTTCAGTTCTTTTTATTATTACATATTGAATTGATGTAAAAGTTCATAGCAAATGTGTAAGTTGTAAGGAATATAATAGTACAGGTACAAGGGTAGCTTGAAGCTCTCAGTATCTCTGTTCAATCCTTTTTTTCTCTCTTTAACCTCCATCATGAATTTTATATTTTTCATTTCCTTACTTTTATTCATACTTTAATGTATGAAGTATGCATCTAATAATAATATATTTTCACATTATCTTTAAATTTGTATAAAAGGGGTAAATAATACTATGTGTATTCTTCTATAATGTGTTTTTCCCTAAATATTTTATTCCTGAGATTTATCAATTTTGATGTATGCTGTAGCTGCTTTATAGCTTTCCTTTGTATGAACATACCATAAGTTACTTCTTCATTCTACTGTTAATAGCCATTTGGTTGGTATCCACTTTTGCTGTTAAAACAAAACAAAAGAGCTACTTCACACATCCTTATATATGACCTAAGAGTCTTCCTAGTGTACATACTTAAAAATAGACTTACTGTGTTATAGGGTAAGTGCTTTATCAACTTTATTATATAAAACCAAATTATTTTCCAAAGTGGATATCTAACTTTTAATACCTCCAATGATATATGTGTTCTAGTTGTTTCACTTTCTCCCTAACATAATATTATTAGACTTTAACTTTTTATGAATGTGGTAGATATGTATATTAAATTTTTAAATATTGCTATTGACTGATTACTGTGGAAGGCAATTGCATACTTCACTTAATTTTCTCACAATTCTTTTATTTTAGTCTCATAATGGAAACTAATGTTGTACTTTTTTAAAAATGCATAATTACCCTTAAATCTCTAACAAATTTATCCCTTAAAAGGCTTTTGTCCATCCTGTATCACTCTAACCCATTTCCTGTTTTGTTTTTTTTTAAATATAATTTTCAGCCAGGTGCAGTGGTGCATGCCTATAATCCCAGCTATTTGTGAGGCTATGGCAAGGAACTCACAAGTTCAAGGCCAGTTTAGGCAACTCAGAAGACTCTGTCTCAAAATAAAAAACAAAAAGGCCCAGGAATGTGGATCAGTGGTAGAGCACCCCCTGGGGTTCAATCCCCAATGGGGTATTACCAAAATAAAGGGGGGCTTTAAATTTTTATTTCTCATTTTAGAAGAAATCTGAGGCAGGAAGTGGTTAAAAACTTTCCCCAAGTCACATTGTCATTAATTCGCAGCCAACTATAAAATAAAACACAGTTCTCTGCTCCTACTCCATTTTTTGCTTCATCTCTTCTTCTCTTTTCCTCCCATACCACATTTATTCCTCCCTTCCCCCACGTTTGTCCACTCTTCCTCTGAATTTAACAGCTTAGCTATACTATCCGGGTGGCTTGCCATGTGATAGATGTGTATGCTAAGAGCAGTATAAGATTGTGTGAGCGAGGGCCTGGTTCCAGCTGAACAGTTGTAGTACTCAGTCCCCCGTCTCTAGCTAAATGCTTCACAACCTTTTTAGTTTTCAAGCTGTGTTGCCTGTGAGTATTTGGCCTGCTACCCTCTCACAGTTGCTGATAGCCCTGCAGGGGTTGAAGAGTATCCAGAACTTTGGGCCATCCTATCCTTGGCTCTCCTCTTTCAGCAACAGTAGGAACCCCAAGCCTACTGTGGAAGCAAGGAGGGGTGGGACTGGGTGCCCAGAGAATGATGGCATGGGAACTGCTAACATTGGTTATAAGAACACAGATTCTGTTGGCAGAAGAAAGATGCCTAAGATTGGAGTAAAAAACTGTCAGTCCACAAGCACAAATTATGTTTGGCTCGCACTGTATGTAAATCTCTCTCTCTCTCTTTTTTTTAAATCTGAATACCTATTTATTTATTTATTATTTTTGTGTGGTGCTGAGGATGAAACCCAGTGCCTCACACATGCTAGGAAAGCTTTCTGCCACTGAGCTACAGCCCCAGCCCCTCATTTCTATCATTTTAAGGAATTTATATTCTGAAGATGAGCTACTCCCTGCTAGGACTACTATTTTTTTTTTAAATATTTATTTATTTAGTTAGTTTTCGGCGGACACAACATCTTTGTTTGTATGTGGTGCTGAGGATCGAACCCGGGCTGCACGCATGCCAGGCGAGCACGCTACCACTTGAGCCACATCCCCAGCCGTATTTTTTTTTTTTTTTAAGAGAGTGAGAGAGAAGAGAGAGAGAGAGAGAGAGAGAGAGAGAGAGAGAATTTTTAATATTTATTTTTTAGTTTTTGGCGGACACAACATGTTTGTTTGTATGTGGTGCTGAGGATCAAACTCGGGCCTAGCTCCCGCATGCCTGGCGAGCGGGCTACCGCTTGAGCCACACCCCCAGCCCAGGACTGCTAATTTAATTAGATTTTGTTTTATTTTTCTCAATAGTCATTTCCATATAATTATTTAATATTTTCTAGTAATACTATGATTTTTCTTCAAATTATTTTGTATTTTGGATATTATAAATGAATAGATTCACTTCTAATGCAATTTCTAAATTTCTGTTTATTTTTCATGAAACAGAAATTCAGTTATTTTTTAATTTTAATCTTGTAACTATTTTAATCTTATAAATATCTGTCTTTACTGAAGTAATATATTAATTAATTCAGTAAAAACTCAGTGAATAAAATCTGAATACTTTTCTAGGAAGCATGCACTTGCTTATTTGTCACAATGCTCAGCACTTCATCTATCTGCTGTTAACTACCTGGCACCTAAAGTTAGTTGATGCAACTCTGCCTAGATTACTGAAGTATGAATTTCATACAAGGTAACTTGAGACTAACAGAGGACAGAACTGGAAATATATTTCAGAGTGATCACAGTTGTCCAGGGTTTTTGTTGTTGTTTGTTTTAATGTCTTTATTTTTGTTTTTTGGTTTATTTATTGTGATGGAGATAAAATCTAGGGCTTTGCACATGCTGGGTAATGCTTTACCACTGAGCATCACCAGCCCACCAGAGTTATTTTTTTCCCTGGTAGTTGAATAGCTCTGGATAGGGAATACCCTTTTACTTAGACCTTACTCCCCCCACCTGCCCCTGCTGTAATCTTGTATAGGATGATTAAGGTGAAACTTTGCCTTTAAAGTTTTCTAGTCATGGGCCGGGGGATGTGGCTCAAGCGGTAGCGCGCTCGCCAGGCATGCGGGTATGCAGCCGGAGTTTGATCCTCAGCACCACATACAAACAAAGATGTTATGTCCGCCAAAAACTAAAAAATAAACATTAAAAATTCTCTCTCTCTCTCTCTCTTTAAAAAAAAAAAGTTTTCTAGTCATGGCTTATCCATACTTAGTGATTTATAGGACCTGGAAGAAATTGATTAGAATAAATCTATTTTATTGACATTTTCCGAATTGGTTTAAGGATGGAGAGAAAGAAGGAAAGGAAAGAAGAATTTGTTTATATAGCAAACTTGTGGTGTGATAAAATATAATTTTCAAAAGGTTAAAAAACATGATTTAGGGGGCTGGGGTTGTGGCTCAGTGGTAGAGTATTTGCCTAGCATGTGTGAGGCACTGGGTTCAATCCTCAGCACCACATATAAATAAATAAATAATAAAGGTACCTCAAAAACTAAAAAATATTTTTAAAAACCACGATTTTCATATAAATATAAAAATATCAGGTATCAAAAGTTTTATTTAATTCATTAACTAATGAGAGAATCAATCAGATGTTAAGACCACTTCAAATGAAAATTTTGGAGCTAAATGTTTATAGGAAATTTAATAAAGAAATGTTAAGATTTCTGAATTACATATAGAACTAAATAATGTCCTAAAGTGAAATATGTCATAATCTTTGGAGTTCTTTTCCATAAGACAAGAAATATTTGTATCTCTACTGGATAAAAATCTACAAGTTAACCTGTGCCTCAAGCAATTATAAAATAGTCCAAAAATAAATTGGAAAACTAATCAAAGATATAAACCCAAAATTGCATTAAAAGATCACCCAGTAACTTCATTCACCTGTTTCTAAGTTTCAGTTGCCTTTTATGGATGGGTCATAGTCATCAATTTAGACTTTGTTGCCAGGAAGTGCAATCTGTTTCTCAAGCTTTGAAATTTTAACTTTTTGATGAGGATAAATGAATGGAGTGAATTCTAAAACCTAGCATATGTATGTTAGGGGGTATTATTTTGGATTTCAAAATTTCAAATTAAATGAAAGAGTGTCAGCTTAAAAAAAAATCTCATTCCAAATATTTTTATTTTCTTTGTAGAGATTCCATGGGATTGTAGTAGGTACTACTCTGCAATGTCTCTAACAGAAACCCAAAGTGAGCACGGATTCGATGGAAGAGGTAGGAAGACTCAGGAAAAGAAATAAAATCAAATCTGTACGTTCTTATTATTGCCTCTGAAAAGTGTTTGTGTATATACGTATGTGTTTATGGCAGGTAAATAGACTGACCAAACTACTAACCTACCAAACAAATGACCAGGAAGGGAAATATATTTTGTAGAAGTAACGAGTTCCTCTGTTTTGTCATCTAAGAATTCTAATTTGAGTAGTTGCAATTTCTCATCTTTTATAATTTTCCAGAGTTTGGAGTTTCACAAGAAAGCATTGTATTCCTTTCCTCTCTCTATCCTTCACAACTGTCTCCTGCTAAAAAGAGCTGGTCAGGATGAAAAGAAGTTACTGAGGCATTTAATGTCCTCTTGCAGTCTTTCTGTGGGCAGAACAAATGGATCTGGCTGTGTTGTTAGGGAGGATTTCCATACCATTTCCATGATTTCCTTTGGGGAATCAAGATACTAAAGGAAACTAGATTAATCATACTCAAGCCATCTTTCAGAATGGAACTACCTGGCATGTAAAAATGTTTTTAAATTCTGACATGAAATTTTGAAAAAGCAGACCAGAATGTAGTTTTAAGTGTAGGCTTCCTTTTAAGGAATGACGATAAATGGTGCAGAGATTGAAATTAGTTCACTGAATAAAGGCCACACTGTACCATTTTTGCATTTTTGTCATTGAGTAGGTTATTCCTTTCTGGAGAGAACCCATTTGAAAGGCCCTGGTTCCAGGAGGAAGTCAGGAAATGCCTCAGAGGGAAAGCCAAGGGAGTCCTTTCTCCCCTCAGGAGAGCCAAAGGAGAGAGATCTGAGGAAAACAGGGTTAATTGACCAACTTCTCCAACATCTTCTTATGGGGAAAAAATATGGAGAACAGAAATCTTTCAGGAGTAGTAAGTTCTCAGCAAATGAAAATTATGAATATCATCAATAAGGACTAATTAATTCATTCATTTATTTAACAAATATTTATTGATTACCAAATGAGTGCCAGCCATTGTGCCAGGTGCAGCATTACAATTAGTTTGCGTAACCGGTTTAGACAATTAGTTTGCTTAACTGTGAAGAAACTAAAAACCACTGAATCATACAGTTTAAGTAGGTAGATTGCAAATATCTCAATATTTGATAAACCAGACATCTAAAGTCTCTAGAACTATAGAATTGTTTCTTTACAAAATTTGAAGTAATTGAACTAATATTTAAGAACTTTTCCTGACCTCAGTAATACAGGCTGTATTCCAGATAAAATACAGGATTTCTAGTTAAATTTGAATTTCAGATAAAAAAAAAATGACTTCTAGTATAGCTGTGCCCCATGTGATATTTGGGTACACTTATTTTAGATATCTTTGCTTTTTATTTACCATATTTGGCAACCCTAAACAGGGGATTAAGTTTTGCCGCTTTTACAGTTAAATTGCTTCTTTAGCATCACTAAGGCTTTTTGTTTCCAGCTAATAGGTTTTAATTTCCACTTCATGGTTCCCATGCCAAGGAAGGTTTTATAATTGAGCAGCACCAAAAGCGATATCCAGTAGTTCAGCAAGTAGGACTCATTTTTCCTTTTACTACATTAATGAGAAATCATTGGTCCTATATTCCAAATGAGGTCAGAATAGCAAACAAAGTACTTCAGCCCTTGTGAAATGTTCCTGTGGGCTGGGGCCTCTGCCTCAAAGAGGAAAGGGAGAGACCTAAGGTCTCTGAGGGGTCTAGGGTGGGTACTTTGTCTTTAAGGGCATCCTGAGTTATGCCAGTCAATTTTCTATGGGACTCTGTTAAGGAAATAGTTATTGTTTGTTTTTGTTTTGTGTTGTTTTGTTTGGCTTTTATGACTGTTTTGATTTTCTATAGGACCTGGTCTTGTTTTCACTGTATTTGGCCATATGAATCAGTGATCCTCTAGGGGATGGAGTTGTGAGAGCTCAAGGTTTGGATTTAGCTTCTTCTGCAGGCTTTTCTTAACACGGAATCTACATATTGTCTTCAGCCATGCTTAACAGCCTCCTGTTTACTGACTTTAGCTAAGGTTAAAAAAAAAAAAATTAGCCTTAGCTGAGCGTTCTCTCAGCCCAGCTGTTCTGTGATTATGCAGATCCTTCCACAGGAGGAGGGGATGGATTATCCTCCATTGGAGGGGTTTGGACAGAAATCTGACCTCAATTTGGCAAAACACTCTTGTAACCATCTTTTCAGTTATGTGCTTGTTCATTCAACAAATCTTTATTAATCTGGGGACTATTGCTGAGCTAATTTTTCTTATTTTCCCTTAAATAAGAAAGGGAAAAAAAGACATGGTCTCCATCTTTTTAAAAAATTTGACAAAAATATATATTTATTTTGTACCTAATGTTTTGAAATATATATTCCAATACATATTTAAGAATATCATATACATACATATATCATAAAACAACATATATATGTATATTATATATGTATATATATATATATGTGTGCATTGTGGAATAGCTAAATCAAGCTAATTATATCATATATACATATATAAATAACATATGTATATGTTATATTTATATGTGTATATATATGCATTATGGAATGGCTAAATCAAGCTAATTAACATATTATCATTTTTTGTAATGAGAACACATAAAATCTATTTATCATTTTCAAAGTTGCTATATACTACTATTAACTGTAGTCACCATGTTGTAAAATAGATCTCCTCCCATCTGAAATTTTGTAACCTTGAATTAACACCTACCAACCCCTTTCCCCACCACTGCCCCAAGTCCCTGGTAACCATCATACTGTTCAGTCATAAAAAGAAGGAAAATATGTCATTTGTGACTATATGGATGAACCTTGAAGATATTATGTTAACTGAAATAAGCAAGGCATATAAAGACAAATACTGAATGATTTCACTTATACGCAGAATCTAAAAAAGTAGGTCTCATGTTCTCTGTCTTTAAGGAGTTCTTTGTTGAATGGGGGAAATATGGTATTATAAGTGTGACAAAGGATTTGACTATAGATCATAGGACATAGCATTATTAGCTATGTGATGAAATGAAACTGTGGTGAGAAAGCAAATTAGTTATTGCCTCTCCTACAGGGCAATAGGTCCTGGCCTTACCCATGATATCTCTGTCATGTCATTTAGCTAGGTTTCTTACCTTTTTCGGGTCGGGGGGCGGGGATGATAATTGGGTATTTAACCAGGGTACTCTAACCACTGAAGTACATTCCCAGCCTTTTTTAATTTTAACTTTGAGACAAGGTCTTGCTAAGTGGCCTGGACTTATGATCTCCTGCCTCAGCCTAGGATTAAAAGCATGCATCACCATGCCCTGCTACTTCTTACCATTCTTTATGAGAAGATATCATCTGCTGCACTCCAGACATCTGGGAGTTTAGACAAGGTTATAAGCCATATGGTAAACTAAATCTGCTAGCTATAATGTTTTAGATTATGTGATTTGACTACCTAATGTAAATTGATTCCAACTTAAATGGACCAAATATCCATCCCATTGCAGCTCTCCTCACTTATTTTTTTAGACAAGAAAAGAGGGAAAGAAATTTCTATCACAGGCATTAAGTGACTTGGCAGAAATCCCCTAGGTCATACAGCAGGGAGTCATTCCTGAGTTTCCCTTGCCAACATTTGGTCTTAATTGAGTTGTCAGTATGGATAACTATAAAAAGCAGAGGCCTTGACTAATATACATTCCTGACAATCATCTCATTTTTAGCTGGAAAATCTCATTTGTGATCCATTTCCCATTATAAGCAAGGGGATATTTGCTCAGAATCTTCTAAGCATGATTGACAGCTGATCAACTGAATTTCTCTCCTTTTCTCCCTTCCTCCTTATTCCTCTTAGTTACTTACTTTTCAGTGGGTCATTATGCATAATTTAGAGTATACAGGAGGATGTACATAGACAGATTATATGCAAATAGTACACCATTGTATATAAGAAACTTGAGCATCATCAATTTGGGTATTCACAAGGGCCCTAGAACCTATCCCCCACTAATACTGAAAGACAGATCTATACCTTTAAATTTTTCATAATATATCAATAACCTCACTATTTCTAATAGTTGTAAAACCTCTGTTTTTTAAAGTATTTTTTTAGTTGTCAATTGACATTTATTTATTTATTTATTTATATGCATTGTTGAAAATCCAACCCAGTGCCTCACACAAGTGAGTGCTAGGCAAGCACTCTACCACTGAACTACAACCCCAGCCCAACACCTCTGTTTTGATAGGATGATTTTGTCTTATATTGTAGTTCTCAGACTCAGACCTACTACATTAAAATTTGATATTCTGTCTTATTCATTCGTCTTTTTATCCCACCACAGCACACTGGCTTCTGTGTAATAGATGCTTGGTGATGATTTAATAATTTAAATTTAGTTAAGCAAGCATGTCAGAGAAAACAGTCTGTCTGTCTGTTTGTCCTCTGCTTTCATCACAATCCACCGAGAAGACTTCTGTGACCTCAAAAGGTATGGGGATTGCTCCCTACCAGTAAGCAATTGATTTTGCAGCAGCAGACATAAGAGCTGAATGCACTCTAATCCAGTTTAATTCTAATACTATCTCCTCAGGTTTGTCTAATTTGCTAAAGCAGCTCACAGAGCTCAGAGAACATATTTAAAATTTCAGGTTCATTATAAAGGATATTTCAAAGGAGACAAATAAGTGTCAGATGAAGCGATATACAGGGTAAGGTCTGGAAGGGTCTCAAGCTCAGGAGCTTCTCTTCCTGTGGAGGTGGGGTACAACATCCTCCAAGTGTCTATATGAATCCTTGTTCACCTTGCTGGGATTCTCCACTTGTTCATCTGTCCTAAAGCTCTCCAAACCCTATCCTTTGGGGGTTTAATGGAGACTATTGCATAGGCATGAAAGCTAATAGACTTAGTGGGGAACCCCAACAAGGCCTGTCTGTGCAGCATTCCTTCCTCCAGAGTATGAGGTAGGAACCCTCTGGAATGAGGTGAGGTATTATGACTTAACTATTAGACAAGGTAAGTCAGAGAAATTTTTTATGGCCAGCTCCAGAAAGATTAGAATTTCCACAACCTTCCTTTGGAAAGAGACATTTTAGTTTCTTTGGCCTGCCTTGGAGAGGGAGTTAAGAGCCAGGAACTATGGATGAAAAACAAAATAAACAAAAACCAAACATGTTTATATACATACATATATGTGAATATGTATATATTTCATACAGGAACAATATCATGAAAAGTTTAGGAAACCTGGCCTGGAAAAGAGCCTCAGTTATCCTAAGACAGGTTGTTGGAATTGATTTGTGTTTAACAGTTATGATTGCAGAGACATAATCTAGAAAGCACTTACAAAGGATTAATGTGTAGACTCTCAGGATGTTCTTGTCCTGTTTCTTCCAGAAAGCTTGAAGACTTGAGGATTTCCCCCTTGAAATATATTTCTCATTTCTTTGAATAAAGAGACAAAAATCCCATTTTTAAATAAATATCCTCAGCAAGAAAGTGTTGGAACCTAGTAAAGTCTTCACTAGCAGCCAGCATCCCAGGTTGATCTACAGAGGTCCATCATTCTTTCTTATCATTTCTCTTCTCCCCCCCACCCCACCCCCAGAATATGAGAGATTTTTGCAAGCCAACAACAGAGAATTCAACGCTCTTTTTGGATATCCAGTAAGTATCCCACCTTGGGCTATTTCAGAAGGGGGTTAATATTTTGTGTAATATTTCTCTTTGTTAAGGAAACAGGGAATTCATTATAGATGTGAATCCTTCAATATAAAGTCTACTTTCTTTTAAGTTCCTATACAATGTGTGATACAATGAGGGTTCAGAAACCAAATTAATCCAAGTACCTAAACTCAGGGGAGAATACGTCTCAGATTTTAGATTTATATATGACAACTAGAAAAGAAATACTGTAGCTTTTTGTTTTGCACAAATGAAAGCTTAGTTCCACAATTGTCTTTTTTCACTTAGATATTAAGACAATACATGTAGATCTACTACACTCATTATTTTCCATTATATTGATAAACCTTATGTTATTCAACCAGTTTTCTATTGATGAACATTTAAAATTTTCCAGCATTTTTCTATGATAAATAGTCCTGCCAAGCTCAGTGGCACACACCTGTAATCCTAGCTAATCTGGAGACTAAGGGAGGAGGATCACAAGTTTAAGGCCAGCCTCGGCAACTTAGTGAGACCCTGCCTCAAAATAAAAAATAAAAAGGACAGGGGGGCACTGGGGTTGTGTCTTAATGGTAGAGCACTCGCCTAGTATGTCCAAGGCCCTGGGTTCCATCCTCAGCACCACATAAAAATAAATAAATAAATAACAAATAAATAAGTAAAGGTGTTGTGTCCAACTACAACTAAAAAATATATATATAATAAATAAATAAATAATAAAAAGGACTGGAATGTAGCTCAGTGGTGAAGTACCCCTGGGCTCAACCCCCAGTACTAAACGAAGAAAAAAAGGAAAGAAATCTACAATAAATGATCCTACATGACCAACATTATATATGTGTATCTGCATAGATATATAATATGTATATTCCATATATAGGTATAAATATATATAGTTTGTCACATTTGTATTCATATATGTTGTGAGAACTTCCTGGAAGTGAATTGGCTAAGATAAAAAGAAAACACATTAAAAATTATGATACATACTGTCAGATTGCCCTCTAAAAAGATTATATCCTTTTATAGTTCTGCCTATAGTAGAGATCTGCCACGCGACCAGCACGAGCTTCATAAAAGAAGGTTCAATGCACAAGAAATTGCTAGTGAGTTTTAAATTAAAGAGACAGACTCTCATTACCTTTAACCCCAGCTCTAAGCCCGCTTCTCCTAGCTACCGCCTCCAGCCACCTAATGCTGTGGCGAGGTTTACAAAAGAAAGAGAGAGAGAGAGAGAGAGAGCACGCCAGGGAGTGAGCTTTTATTGGGGAACAAAAAATTCAAGGGAAAAATCCCATCCAATGAAGATTAAGGGGGGCAGCATCCCAAGGTCAGGGCCAGCGATTGGGTCTTCAGATCAGTGGCTAGGCACACCTCTGCACGGACAAGCCCTCCTACCTGGGACAGGGTGTGGGATGGCTTTAACACCGCTGTGTCCAACGCCTCTCATCCAGCCTGGGAAATAACTCAAATCACGTTCGAGGATGGCCTCCCACATAGAGATTGTCCATTTTTCTACATTCCTGCAAAACTGGTTATTATCAATCATTTCACCTTCAATGAAAAAAGACTCTTAGATGAAAAATGGCATTTTGTTATCTCTTCTTCCTTAATTTTTAAGTGTGATTGATAATCTTCTTGTGTTAGCCATTTATATTTCTTTTTCTGAAAACTGCCTATTAATGATCTTTGCCAATTTTCTACTGGGTTGTTCATTTTTCACCTACTTATTTGTTTATGAATAAGTAGTTCATTGAAAAGATATATATTGAGAGTTTTCAAGATGGCAGAATAGAGGAGGTCACTTTCCTAGCTGCCTCAAGGAGTGAAACCAAGAAAGCAGACAGGCAGCTTCTCAGAAAGAATGGGTAAACAAAAAATAGTGGGGTGACTTTACTGAACTGGCACGGGCAGAAGATATTGTTTGGAGACTGAACACAAGACCAGGAAACATGGGGTCAGAAGGCAAGGAAGGGGACTAAGAATTGGTTCCCCCACTACTCATCCCTGGGGTACAGTCTTCCAGTGTGGACAAGCAAGTACTGGGTACTGGAGGTGCACTGATTTAAAATCTCCAGACCTATCTGCATTCAGCAAAGAGCCCCAAACAATGGAGCATCCAAGCCAAAACCCTGCCTCCAGGAACTCTGCTTACTGGTTAACCTCTCTCCCTCCAGCAATCCAGAGGGTGGAGCATCACACTCTAGAAGACCCCCACCTAAAATTGCTGACAAGAGAAGCTGAGAATATTTTGAACCCCAACAGAAAGAATTCTTTAACTTTTCATCAAGATCTTCTTTTTAATTCTTTTTCTCTGTATAATTGTGACCTTAATGGTACATGGACATTTATACATATTCATTTTTTTCTCATTTCTAGCATTTTTGAAGCCAATTATTTTTTATGGATTAGTTATTTTATGAACTAGAATGTTTGATTAGTATAAAATTTTAGTTATGTTTTGTATTCTTTTATTTTTATTTTTTAAAAATTTTTATTCATATATATTTTTTCTCCTACTAGTTTTCCTTGATTCTCTCTTTTCTTCTGATAACAGCCAATCTCTATTGTTCTTTCACTCTTCCTTTAATTTTTTACTTCTTCTTCTCTCCTCCTCCCTCATAATCATCGCATTCTATATCACTTCTGTTTTCTCCCTGTCCACCATTTGAAATTATAAACCTTTTTGCAAACTCGCTGTTTTTATTGTAGGCAATAACTGATCATATCATTTCTGTTTATTGTGATAATTAACATTGGAAACATCATAGTAGGAACTATTTGGCTTAATGCTGTAATTGTTTGCATTGGTTGTTATTATTTGTCTCCCCCTAAATAGTGAAGTACTGGAAGCCTTCAGGGACACTAAAAGTCCAGAGTAGAAATTCTACTGCCTCAGATCCATACTGTTAGATGGGTAGACACACAAAGAACACAAGAAAAAAGGGGAACAAATCATGCCAAAGAAAGCAAGATACTCCAATAACAGAATCCATCAACACAACAGTAGAATAAATGTCAGAGAAGGAGTTTAGAATGTACATAGTTAAACTGGATCTGCAAAGTAAAATACGGTATAAGGAATGAAATCAGAGAGAAAATGCAGGAAGTAAAAGATCACTTCAATAAAGAGGTAGAAGGCTAGAGGTGTGGCTCAGTGGTGGAGCACTTTCCTGGCATGTGTGAGGCATTGGGTTCAACCCTCAGCACCGCCTAAAAATATGTGAATAAAATAAAAGTATTGTGTCCATCTACAACTAAAAAAAAAAACTTTTTTAAAAAAATTAAGAGGCAGATATTCTGGAAAAAAATAAACAAGCAGAATTCCTTGAAATGAAGGAAACAGTGAACCAAATTAAAAATTCAATTTGCATCACCAACAGACTACACCACTTAGAAGACAGAACCTCAGGCGATGAACACAAAATATATAATCTTGAAAATAGAGTTGACCATGGAGAGAAGATGTTAAAAAAAAAAATCAACAGAACTTCCAAGAACTATGGGATAAACTGAAAAGGCCAAATTTAAGATTTATTGGGATAGATGAAGCCACAAAGATACAAACCAAGGAATGTACAATCTTTTCAATGAAATAATACATGAATATTTCCCAAACCTAAAAACTGAAATGGAAAATCAAATACAAGAGGCTTACAGGATGCCAAATGTACAGAATTACAACAACCCACACAAAGGCACATTTTAATGAAAATGCCTAACATACAGAATAAGGATAAAATTTTAAAGGCTGTGAGAGAAAAATATCAGATTATGTATAGGGGAAATCAATTTGGATCTCAGCTAACTTATCAACCCAGACCCTCAAAGCTAGGAGGTCCTGCAATAACATATACCAAGCTCTGAAAGAAAATGTTTGCCAACAAAGAATCCTGTATCCAGCAAAATTAAACTTTAGATTTGAAGGTGAAATAAAAAACTTCCATGATAAACAAAAGTTAAAAGAATTCACAACTATAGAACATTCTCAACAAAATATTCTATGAAGATGAAAGGGGAGGGCTGGGGTTGTGGCACAGAAGCAGAGTGCTTGCCTTGCAATGTGAGGCACTGGTTTGATCCTCACCACCGCATAAATACAAATAAACAAAATAAAGATTAAAAAAAAAAGGTAAAAGGGGAAGAAAAAAAGTGAAAACCAGCAAAGGGAAGAACTACACTAAAAGAATAGTCAATCAAAGGAGAAACGAATTCAAACTAAAAACTAGAAATAAACCATGACTGGGAATACAAATCATATCTCAGTAATAACCTTGAACATTAATTCAGGGGCCTAAAATCATCATCAAAAGACATAGACTGGCAGATTGGATTAAAAAGCAAGCCCCAAACAATACGCTGTCTCCAAGACATTCACCTTGTTGCCAAAGACATCCACAGACTGAAGGTATAAAGATGGGAAAAAACATATCATTCACATGGATCACATAAACAAGCAGGGTTTTCTATGCTCAGATAAAGTGGACTTCAAGCCAAAGCTAATCAGAAGGGACAAAGAAGCTCATTTCATACCCCTTAAGGGAATTATATATCAACAAGACATAACATTCATAAATATTTATGCCCCAAACAATGGAGCATCTACATACATCAAACAAACCCTTCTCAATTTCAAGGATCAAATAGACCACAACACCACAATACTGGGTAACTTTAACATGCCTCTGTCACCACTGGATAGACCTTTCAAACAAAAACTAAATAAAGAAGCTATAGCAGTAAAAAATACAATTGATAATTTAGACTTATCAGATATATATATAGAATATTTCATCCATCAATTAATACACTTTCTTCTCAGCAGCACACAGATCCTTCTCTAATATAGACCATGTTATGTAAGCTATCACATATGTTGGCATACAATTGTAATAGTACCTTAATATATTTTTAGCATCTGTAGGGTTATTTTGATAGCTCCCTTTCCATTGATACTAATTTTTGTGTTCTTTTTTCTTGATTAGACTTTTTGATTCTTATCAAATTTTAGCCATAGTATTTATATATATATATATATATATATATATATATATATATATATATGGAGTAGGAATATATATATATATATTCCTTCTCCTAATTTTTCTTCCTACTACATAATTTGAAAATAATTTGTTAATCTAGCTTTTTTCTAATAAAAATACTTTAAGTTATAAATGTTCATCTGACTACTGTTTCATCCTAGAGATCCTGATATTTTAAGCTTTTATTATCACTTAGTTCAGAGCACTTTTTATTTATTTTTATTGTGCTTTCTTCCTTGACCTCTGAGATATTTATAAGTGAGCCATTTAATTTTGAAATATTTGACATGTGGGGGTGGGGTTCTGTATATCTTAAGGTAATGGATTTCTTTTTTTAAATTTGTTTAGACATTGATGACCCTTATTTTATTAATTTATTTGTATGTGGTGCTAAGAATCGAACCCAGTGCCTCACACATGCTAGGCAAGGGCTCTACCACTGAGCCACAACCCTAGGATGATTGATTCCTAATGTAATAAATCATTCAGGAAACAGTCTGCATGATTTCAAATTTAAAAAAAAAGTAATGGAAATGCTTTTTATATTGATTATATTGGTTACATACATGTCAAAACTGATCAAATTGCATATTTCAAATATGTATATTTTATTGTACTTCAATAAAGCCATGGGGGGACTAGTAGTAATCTCCAGCTTCATTCAGCAAATGCTATAATTTCATTCTTCTTCATGACTGAGTAGTATTCCATTATGTATACATACCACATTTTCTTTATCCATTCATCTCTTGAAGGACACCTAGGTTGGTTCCATAGCTTGGCTGTTGTGAATTGAGCTGCTGTAAACATTGATGTGGCTATATCACTGTAGTATGCTGATTTTTAAGTCCTTTGGGTATAAACCAAAGAGTGGGATAACTGGATCAAATGGTGGTTCCATTCCAAGTTTTCTAAGGAATCTCCATCTGTTTTCCAGAGTGGTTGCACCAATTTGCAGTCCTACCCACAATATAGGAGTGAACCTTTTCCCCCATATAATGTAATACACACACACACACACACACATTTATTTATTTTTAATGTGGTGCTTAGGAGCAAACCCAGTGCCTCACATGTGCAAGGCAAGCTCTCTACCACTCAGCCACAACCTCAACCCCACCACCAACATGATTCTATATTTAGAAGACCCAAAAAACTTAATAATTGCCATTCTGACTGGAGTGAGGTGGAATATCAGTGTAATTTTAATTTACATTTCTCTAATTGCTAGAGAAGTTGAACATTTTTTCATATATTTACTGACCACTTGTATTTCTTCTTCTATTAAGCGCCTATTCAGTTTCTTTGCCCATTTATTGATTGGTTATTTGTTTGCTTGGTGTTGAGTTCTGTGTATATCCTGGAGATTAATGCTGTAGATAAAGTGCAGGTGGCAAAGCCTTTTTCCCATCCTTTAGGGTCTCTCTTCATGTTCTTGGTTCTTTGCTGTGAAGAAGCTTTTTAGTTTGATATCATCCCACTTATTGATTCCTAATTTTACTTCTTGTGCTTTAGGAGTCTTGCTGAGGAAGTCAGTTCCTGAGCTGACATGATGGAAAGTTGGCTCTACATTTTCTTCTAGTATGCACAGGGTCATGGGTCTAATTCCTAGGACCTTGATCCACTTTAAGTTGAGTTTTGAGCAGGATGAGAGATAGGGGTTGAATTTCATTCTGCTACATGATGTTGTCCCAGCACCATCTATTGAAGTGTCTATCTTTCCTCCAGTGTATGTTTATGATGCCTTTGTCTAGGATGAGATAACTGTAAGCATATTAAAAAGATAGTGTACCATGATCAAATAGGGTTCATCCAAGGGATGTAAAGTTGGTTCAACATATGGAAATCAATAAACATAATTCATCACATCAATAAACATAAAGATAAGAATCACATGATTATCTCAATAGATGTAGAAAAGGATTTGACAAAATTCAGCATTCATTCATGCTCAAAACACTAGAAAAACTAGGGATAGTAGGAGCATACCTCAACATTGTAAAAGCTATATATGTTAAAGCCAGAGCCAACATCATTCTAAATGAAAAAAAAAAAATTGAAAGCATTCCCCCTAAAAACTGGAACAAGACAGGGATGCCTTCTTTCAGCACTTCTATTCAACATAGTCCTTGAAACTCTAGCCAGAGCAATTAGACAAAAGAAAACAATTAAAGGGACTCAAATAGGAAAAGAACTATCCCTGTTTACCAATAACATGATTCTATATTTAGAAGACCCAAAAAACTCCACAAGAAGCCTTCTAGAACTCATAAACAAATTCAGCAAAATAGAGTATATAAAACTAACACCCATGAATTAATTGTGTTCCTATATACCAGTGATGGATCAGCTGAAAGAAAAATTAAGAAAACTATCCCATTCACAAAAGCCTAAAAAGAAAAAATATAGAATCAATCTAACAAAAAGGTGAAAATTCCAATGACATTCTTCATAGAAATATAAAAAGCATTCATGAAATTCATTTGGAAAATAAAAGGCCCAGAATAGCCAAATCAATCCTTAGCAAGAAAAGGAAAGCAGGAGGCATCACAATACCAGACTTTAAATTATGCTACAAAGCTATAATAACAAAAACAGCATGGTATCGACACAAAAATAGACATGAAGACCAATGGAACAGAATAGAAGAAACAGAGACAAACCCACATAAATATAGTTATCTTATAACAGCTTCGTTTTTCACCTGCTTAGTATTTCTTCCACAAATTTACCACTGTTTATTTAAACACTTTCAGTCTTTTATAAGTATAAGCAATGGTTTTATACATGTTATTTAATGAATGTGTATAACACTATATATATATATATGTGTGTGTGTGTGTTTGTAGTTTATGTGGGATGTTAGTTTATGATTTCTGAGAGTGGTTCTTGATAATAATGTTCAATGTGGTGCAATGGAGCAGGATTTTCCCTCTCTCTATTGCCCAGACTTACATAAGAAGCAGTAGGATACAATAAAAGTAAGTTTTGGTATCACACAGACCTGAGTTTCAATGCAGTTCTGCTTCCTTACTAAAACAAGTCATTCTGACCTTTAGTTCTTTTATATATAAAAAGGGCATAATAAAATTCACCTTACATGCTGGTCATAGCATTGTGAAAATGTGGCTTCTGTTTCTCCAAGAAACTGTGCTCCATGTGATTATAAAAGATTGAAAACAATACAATGTCCATGTACAAGGAACTGTTTAAATAAACTAGGGTAAATATGCAGAAGAAATATTGTGCAGCTGAAAAGGACTTGTTTCATTTACCTCTGTATTCATGGTTCCTGCCCCCAAGTTGGCACATAGATAATATATGCTGAATATTTAATAGTGAATAAATAAGTGCTGAATATTGAATGAACAAATAGATTAACCCAGTTTTAAGCTGTCATTTGTCTCTCTAATTGTGCATGATTTTTGTTGTTGTTGTTGATTTTGGTTTTTACTCATAGAACAATGCCATCAAGACCTCAAAATATACTATTTTGAACTTCCTGCCCCTGAACCTATTTGAACAGTTCCAGAGACTTGCAAATGCCTATTTCCTGGTATTGCTAATTCTACAGGTATTGCCTCATGGGCCCTTTTCCATGGTGTTTTATAAACTTTTCTGGGGTCAGGTTGTATAATCAGTCCCTAAACTGAGGGATATCTTCTCTCTTTAGACAGAGGCAAATGAACAGCTGGTAACTCAAGCTAGTCCCCTAGAATTGCTAAGGTTAGGATTAGCCAATGTGAATCAACCCTCTGCAGGAGGGAGACAAGGTCACCAAATTCCAAGGAATGGGGGTTCCTCACGACTGCATGGCCCCAGTTCACCTAGACCATAGGTGTCCACAGACTCTCCATCCCAACACCAACTGCAGTACTATTCCTCTTTCTCATCCTAGACTCCACAACAGGAAGTTGATGTGTAGGAGTCTGAGGAAGGAGGATTATTTAGAATATAAGACTGCTAGCACAAGGAAAGCAGCATAGGGTAGGCCCAAATTAGAGCAGAAGACAGATCATCTGAGGTCTCCTTGTGCGGAAGAGGTGTGGGAGAGTGTATGGTTCCCCACACCCACTCTTACTCCAGTATCCTTTGTTATCAGAAAAGAACTGGCCTTTTTCCATCAGGACAAAGGTTGTGAAGCTCAGAACAGATTGGTAGCTACTGACAGTCTTTCCTTCCTTATCCTCCCTTGGGAAATGTTTACTTATATCCTGAGGGTTACAGGAAAACTAAAACAGTGAAAGCAACAGGATAGTTGGATTTATTATGAATTTAGGGAGTGAAAATGTTGGTGGAGGTAGGGAATTGGGGGAAAATATATTGTCCTTTAAGTTTTCTGACCCAAGATTCTCCTTTTCCTTCTCTCAGTTGATTCCCCAGATCTCCTCCTTGGCATGGTACACCACTGTGGTACCTCTGGTGGTGGTGCTGTCCATAACAGGAGTGAAGGATGCCATCGACGACTTGGTGAAGTGGCTTCCTGGGCTTCCTTCACTGTAGCTCGACAGGCTGTGGGCAATAAAACTTCCCAGAAGTATCTCAAGCCAAGATGCACTGAATGGAAAAAGATGTTTCCCTTCTTTGTTTCTTTATGTATCTCAGAAGGATATGTAATTCCCATCCGCCTAAGGCTGGTTCTCTTTTCACAGCCAGAAAGGGACAATGCAAGGCCTTTCTCTGCCTTCGGGCTGCCCATCATTTTGAGCCCCTCCTCCAGGTCTCCTTCCTTTGGCTCTGCCACTCCCTCACTCTTCCTTCAACCCTTTTAGCTTTCTCTGGTTTCACACTCATCCTTCTCCCTCTGTGCCCCCTTCTCCCATTTTATATTCTCTTTTCCTTCCTCCCAATACTCTGCTCCTCCTTGTTCCTGTTTTTCCTCGTTCTCCTCCTCCTCCACATTTCCCTTCTCTCCAATTCTCCCTATTTCCTTTCCAGCTTTCAGTTCTATTCACGCACAACTAGGAGCCCTCTAGTTTAGAAAGCCTCAGACACAGCTCCTTTCCTTAATCAAGTTAACAACTGGTGAGAAAAAATGGTTCGCAGCTAATGCTTCTAGGGGGAAAACCCAGCCCCACATCTGTTAGGGGGATTCAGGACGTCGATCCTTGCAATTTCCCCAAGAGAATCCTGATTTTGCCTATCTAGGTTTTCAGACCAAAGCTTGAAAGCATGTTTCTCCAACTCTTTAATTGTAAAATCCAAGCTTAGCACATTTGATGGTTTAAATTTTAGTCACAACTTAGATGTGCAAAAATGTAACTATTTCTCTATAACTGGACTCATTTTAATTCATAACCACTCACAAATCCCACCCCACTCTTTCCAGGAAAAACAAAACAAAACAAAAGTTGTTGATTCGGGGTAATCCAGCTACTTCTGGTTTAGAACCACCTCTTTAGGATAAATATTTGGACAATTATGAATTGTAACAAATTCAGAATTCTCTCTGCCCCCTGCACAGTCCTGCCCTTTTTTCAGTCCTGGCACTGGGATATAGCCTATATTTGTTCTCCTGCTATTTGGACTTTGAATATCAGCTTCCTTCTTCATTTCGTCTGCTGTAGAAGTTTCTGTATGTCGACCACATTTGGGATAGGGATGGGAGTATGCTTAGCAATACACTCCTTTTTCCTGCATCTGCCAAGGCATATGGGACTCTCTAGTTCTGCCTGTCACTCTGTATACTCTGTATACTCTGTCCTCTGTGCCTTTTGATATAGTTACCCCAGGCTTTGGCCTTTGTCTTTCTTCTTCCCAGGTAATTTTTCTGACCTTCCTTCTCAGCTTACACGTGGCATCAGGTTCTTAGCCTGATTTTAGTGGTAGAAAGGGCTTTGGAATGGAAGAAAGGGAAATTACAAAGGAGGGAATATATAAATGTGTGTGTGTGTGTTTGTGTGTGTATAGGGTAATATTTCAAAATATTAAAATTTTACATGCAGTTCTATATATCTGTTTCCTGAACATCTTCTTGTGTGGTTTTAGAAAAGGCACCAAAGTGACAATCAAGTTAACAACTGTTCTGTTCTGCTGCTGGCAGATGGCAGGTACGTTTTTTAAGGAAGCCAATTTAGGTAGGACCAGTCCCAAGAGAGGGTCAGCCTTATTAAAGTGTGATGTCCTGGGTACTTGGGAAAGGTAGTTCAGGACAGTGAAAAGAACCTCAGATTGGCACAAAAGGAATTTGTTTCTAGATGTCATTGAGTATGCCCTGAACTTGCCACCTTACTTCATATGTCTCTGGGACTAATTTTTCTTCTCTTTAAAGTGGAAATAATATTTTTCACTTAGAAGATACCTGTGAAGATGAAGGAAAAATAATTTATATTAAAGCAATTTATATGTTATAACATGATACTAAATATACAAGTGATTATTATCAGTGTCATGGTTAGAAAGAAGACATTTGAGTTTATAACATTACTGGATTTGAGCCTTTGGTCAGGTTATCTTTCCTATTAACAGTCTAAAGAAGTATTTGTGTCAACACCATTGCTCTGGTGTTTAGTCTTAGGCACCTAAAGTGTTGGCAAGACTGAAAGGAGACAAACATATTCCTATGTAAGGCAAAATATGAAGATATCATAAGAGGTACAACAAATTACTATAATAATCATAGCTGGCAAAAGAAATCAAAGAAAACTTTCTGGAGGAGGTGATATCTGTACCAGACCTTGAAGAATGGGAAGAATTCAATAAAAGGGATTGTGTGAAAAGAAGAATGGCCAGCATGAGCAGAAGCACAACTGCAATAAAGTACAAACCTGAAGGAAGTCAAGGTTGAGGTTCAGCCTTTCTCATGGTGGCCTTACAGCTCACTTGTATCTGTAATTTTTATCATGTAATTCTGTCATCTGGTGTTCTAGGCATCTCATCCTATTGTTTATTTTGTCTGCTGATTCTTACTTACACTAGATTGTTTCCTTGAGTATTTAGAACTGTTGAAATCTCCCATAAGACACCAAAAAGGGCCAGGCATGGTGGCACTTGCCTGTAATCCCAGTGGCTCATGAGGCTAAGGCAGGAGGATTGCAAGTTCAAAGCCAGCCTCAGCAAAAGCAAGGCACGAAGTAACTCAGTGAGACCCTGTCTCTAAATAAAATACAAAATAGGGCTGGGGATGTGGTCAGTGGTCAAGTGCCCCTGAGTTCAATCCTGGTACAAAAAAAAAAAAAAAGACACCAAAAAGGATGTGTTGTAATTAAGAAAAAAAATAGAAATAAAAAAGAAAGAAAGAAAGGGAAAAACTGAAGTGTATTAGTAACTAGCCAAGGGAGTTGCTGACCAAATGAATTTAGTCAAATGAACACTGTAGCTTGAGCCCTTGGATTTTATAAGATTATTGGAGGTAAATTTGTCATGGAGTTATTTTAGGGCAGAAGTTAATTAGCAAGGCCCTGGTTAGACTCTGCATCCAACGAGAATCTGATGAATTTTACACACAGAGGTGAGGCTCATTGTTGAAGCTGTCCATCTTCCAGAAAGCAGCTTTCTTTTTTCTAGAATATGAGTCTGAGCATTGCTGCTACTGCAAAAGCTTGTCTGTTTAGCAAGTTGAGATTTTTGTCATTTTTCAGTTATCAATAATTTTGTTGACAAAAGTAAACTGAGTTATCATTCTAGAAGGGTTTTATGTTTGCTTCTGTCAGATGACTCAGTGGTTTCATCTGCCAGGACCTAATTTGGAAAAAGTATAAGGGTGAATGAACCCCATGTCACAAGAGGATTCAGATTCTCAGGGGAGAGTCCTCCATTCACTGACCCCAACCTTCCATATTAAGGTAGGTAGACTGTCTTGCCTGTGGTCAGTTTACTTTTTAGGCCACCCTTTCACTAATGCTGCTGTCCTTAGGATTCTGACTTCATGAGGATTCTTTTTCTTTTCTTTTGCTTTTTTTTCTTTTTTCTTTCTTTCTTTTTTTTTTTTTTTTTTTTGTAGTTGTAGATGGATAGCATGCTTTAATTTATTTGTTTATTTTTATGTGATGCTGAGGCTCGAACCCAGTGCCTCACACGTGTGAGGCAAGTGCTCTGCCACTGAGCTACAGTCCCAGCCCTATGAGGGGTTTCTAGTTCCAACTGACTACCTCTTAAGATCATAAGAGTTCACCACTTGTCCATGTTGTAGGATAAATTAAAACTTAGGTTACTAGATCGTTAAAACTAGAAATCCCCTTCCTCACCCCAGACCAAAACAGCTTCAGTACACTCTCCCAGTTCTAGATTTAATTCTCTCTTTTTTCTGGATCCTTACTTTATGGCAAGAAAAGCCTTGCTTTGAGAGTGAGCAGAAGGACTGGGCCTGAGAGGCTTGAGGCATGGGACAGGGGACAGGGAAGGTGCCACTGCCAGCCACACCCCTAAAGGGAAAACAAAAACAAAAAAAAACAAAAAGCCTTGCTTTTGAGAGTGTTGACTTTATTTAAGTATTTGTTGGAAAGTATCAGTGTGTTTCAGAACTCCACAGATATCATTCATGTAAAACAGAGAGTGTAAGTGAATGGTCTCCCCTAAAGTCAGAGCATTGCCTTCTCTAGCTCTCTGGCCATTCTTCCTAAACAAAGCCTGGAAATAAAAATGTACTTATGGCATAACAGGATTGAATATTTTAAATCAGTAAGGAATTTATCCACTCTCCCAGATCTAAGATGTATGTTTATTATAATGTCCAAGAACAAATTGGTACTAGTTTGACAGCTCCTTATGTAATAAAATATAAGCCTTTATCCAGGTGCATTGGCACAAACCTGTAATGCCAGTGAAGTGGGAGGCCGAGGCAGGAAGATCATAAATTCAAGACCCTGTTTCAAAGTACACAATTCTTAAAAGGGTTGGGATGTGGCTCAGTGATAGAGTATCCCTGGGTTCAATCCCCAGTCTCACAAAAAAATAATTTATTTTATAAACAAACACTTTTATTATCTGTAAACATATTTTTAAATTTCCAGGAAAAGTAGAAAGTTATATCCCTGCTTTCTGCTTGTGTTTCACTGGTGAAAACCATGGCAGATAGAATGCTAGAGAACCCACAAAAGTAAATGTCAAATCAAGACTAAATAAAGCAAGTCCCAGCTGTCTTTCTCCAAGGCTTGTAGCTACTACACTTCAGTTCTATCAGAAAATTCTCTAAATGAAGGTGAAATTTATATTAAAGGATTTTATTACATAAAAGAAATTTGGCCCTTCTCAAAGAGAAGATTTTCTTAGAAAAGTATACCTATGGGAATTATGGCTTTGTGTGTCTGGCAAAGTGCTGATGTATGTCATGGCCTACAGGTGACAAGACTGCCTACAGAGATGAACTGTGGAATGATTTCTAGATGTGGCCTCTGTTTCTCGGATCTTTGGGCACTTGGTATAATAGAATTATTTAAGGGGGTAGTTAATGTTTCCAAATGTTTGTGGATATACACACACACATACACACATATATATATCTTCTCCTTATCCTTTGTCAGAAAGGCAGGACTTACAAATTCTATGCAGTTGGGGAAATTGAAGCACAAAAAATGAGGGAGTAAAAGAAGTATTATTGTAGAACCTGCCAGGATGCTTTTTATGGAAAATGGGGATTTGAGAGTCAAAGGTAATTTGATTTTAACATAAAGAAAATTTGTATAGGGCTGGGATTGTGGCTCAGTGGTTTAGCATGTGTGGGGCACTGGGTTTGATCCTCAGCACCACATAAAAATAAAATAAAGATATTGTGTCCACTTAAAACTAAGAAATAAATACTAAAAAGATAAAATTTGTATAGCCATATGATAGAATATATTTTAGCTATTCAAAATAAATACTTCTATAAATACTTTCCAAGATATATTACTAAATGAAAAATGCAAAGTGCAGAAAGCTATGTCTTTAATGCATAACTTTTAGATGTATATATTGTATGGAATTTTGTGACTTGAGGGTTTTGGGGATTTTTTTGGTACTGAGGATTGAACTCAGGGGCACTCAACCATGGAGCCACATCCCCAGCCCTATTTTGTATTTTATTTAGAGACAGGGTGTCACTGAGTTGCTTAGCGCCTCGCTCTTGATAAACCTGGTTTTGAACTTGCAATCCTCCTGCCTCAGCCTCCTGAGCCACTGGGATTACAAGCAAGTGCCACTGTGCCCGGTTGAGTTGAGATTTTCTAGAAAGAAACACACACAGAAAAATTACAGTGGCTACCTTTAGGGAGTCTAACTAAGGTCTGTGGATAAGGGAGACTTTAATTTTTCCTTCTAAATTCTTTACTGTTCTGTTTCACTTAGAAAATAATCTTGTGGGGCTGGGGTTGTAGCTCAGTTGTAGAGTGCTTGCCTAGCATGTGTGAGGCCCTGGGTTAGATTCTCAGCACTGCATATAAATAAAAATAAAGGTCCATTGACAACCAAAAACTACTTTAAAAAATAAAATAATCATGTGCATGTATGTCTACATATACATGCATGATATGTAGACCCTATGTCTGTATACGGGGTTCTAAGAAATGTTTATAACCTGAAGTCAAGAGAAATGGGTCCCATTCTTGATAGCAGGGAGGATGCACCACAAACCAGTTTGGTCCTATCTTCTTTCATCTCAGCCTTGTTTTATGTTTTGCTTCTTGATTGTTAAAACAGAGCTTTGGAGAATTTACAGAGCAGACATTTAAAATCATTATCTTGCAGGGTGAAGGAGGACAAATGGATGAATGTCCAAGTGGGAGATATAATAAAACTAAAAAATGACCAGGCTGTCCCTGTGAGTACCTATTCTGGCTGTGGCTTTTTCTTTTTTGGCTTGAGCGGGATCCTGGGACCCTTACATCCCTTTTGCTGCCATTGCTCTTGGTGACCTTCGTCTGCCTCACTTTGCATCAGAGATGAACAACTCCTAGAGTAAGAAACTTATTCCTGTCCATCCTTCCCCAAAGCTACAGACAAAGTATGAGTAGCTTTGAGAGAGGTGTGTGGTAGCAGTGATGGGTCCCAGACATAGAAAGTAAACCAGGTGTCTATAAAATTCTTAGGGATGCCTGTTCCTGAAGGACTGCTTTTGTCACGCTGTAATGTTAAAAGCCTGCCTTCCTGCTTTCCTTAGCTTCTCTGACTTTTCTAATCACAGGCAGATCTACTATTACTCTCCAGCAGTGAGCCATACAGTCTGACATACATAGAAACAGCAGACCTGGATGGGTAAGTGTTCCTCCCTGATATTCCATTAAGACAATTTAGCCAGCTCTGAGTGGCGTCTCACTGAGAGAGAGCATGATGCAGGTAAATGACCTTATTATAAGGTGGAAGTGGTAGTATATCAGCCAGAGAGCCTAGAAATATCCAAATGAGAAAAGACAGGAAACCAGATCCTTGGGATCCTTAAAATGAAGGCCAAGCTCTTGGCAGCAATGATTGAGCCCCCACTGGGTACAGAATCTGGGCAAATAAACTCCATGTTCTCCATTTCTAAACTGGAAACATTCTCTCTGACAGTAGTCAGCCTTCCATATCTACAGGATCTGTATCAGTGGCTTTGACCACTCAGAGATGGAAAATATTTGAAAAAAATTTGCATCTGTACTAAACATGTACAGACTTTTTTCCTTGTCTTCTTTTGCTGAATAATTAACAAGTATTTACATAGCATTTACATTATATTAAGAATTATAAGCAATCTAGCCAGACATAGTGGCACACTCCTGTAATCCCAGCAATTGAGGAGACTGAGGCAGGAAGATTGCAAGTTCCAGGTTAGCCTCAGCAACTTAGCAAGGCCCTAAGCAATTTAGTAAGACCCATCTCAAAATAAAAATAATAGAAAGGACTGGGGATGTAGTTCAATGGTTAAGTGCTTGTGGGTTCAATCATCAGTGCCAAAAAAGAAAAAAAAAAAGAATTATAAGCAATCTAGAGATTATTTTAAGTATGGAGTGTGTGCAAGGTTATATGCAAATATTCTATCATTTTATATAAGGGACTTGAGGATTCGGGTATCTTTGGGGGATCCTGGAATCAATCCCCTGAAGATATTGAGGGACAGCTGTATTTCATAATGCTAAGTAGCAGGAAAGAGGTTAATAGAACTATACATTTTCTCTTTTTTAAATATTTTAAAATTTTATTTATTTCTTTTTTTATTTCTTACATGACAATAATGGAATGCATTACAATCATAATTATCCATTCACAACACCATTTTTCGTAACTCTGTATATAAAGTATGTCCACTCCAAATTATGCCATTATACATGAGCTCTCTAATTATTATTTTTTGCATTAAAATTCTAATACACCTGTATACCACAATTTATCATATCTCTGATTGTATATAAGATATGTTGACCCAAATTCACATCTTCATACATGTATTTTGTATAATGATGAGGGTCTCCTTTCACCATCCATGCTATTCCCCTTCTCCCTTCCTTTCCCTCCCACCCCTATTCCCTATCTAGAGGTAATCTTCCTCCCTTGCCCTCCCTCCCAACCCCATTTTGAGTCACCCCCCTTATATCAGAGAAGACATTCAGCATTTGTTTTTGGGGGATTGGCTAACTTCACTTAGCACAATCTTCTCTAATGCCATCCATTTCCCTGCAAATGCCATGATCTTATTCTTTTTTATTGCTGAGTAATGTTCCATTGTGTATAAATGCCACATTTTTTTATCCATTCCCCCACTGAAAGACATCTAGGTTGGCTCCACAGTGTAGCTATTGTGAATTGGGCTGCTATAAACATTGATGTGGCTGTGTCCCTGTAGTATGCTGTTTTTAGGTACTTTGGGTATAGTCTGAGAAGAGGAATAGCTGGATCAAATGGAGGTTCCATTCCCAGCTTTCCAAGGAATCTCCATACTGCTTTCCAAATTGGCTGCACCAATTTTCAGTCCCACCAGCAGTGTATGAGCGTACCTTTTTCCCCCGCATCTTTGCCAGCACTTGTTGTTTGTCTTCATAATGGCTGCCATTCTTAATGGAGTGAGATGGTATCTTAGCGTAGTTTTAATTTGCATTTCTCTGATTGCTAGAGATGATGAGCATTTTTTCGTATATTTGTTGATCGATTGTTTATCCTCTTCTGAGAAGTGTCTGTTCAGGTCCTTGGCCCATTTATTGATTGGATTTTTTTTTTTTTTTTTTTTTGGTGCTTATCTTATTGAGCTCCTTTTATACCCTAGATAGAACTATAAATTTTCAGAAGAAAGTTCCAAAGTTTCCAGGGGGGAAAAAAATGAATGTGGAAGTAATTATTTACCAGTAAAATGCCATGTTCTGTGAGTCTTTGCAGTAGAAATTCACTAATGTACAAGAGCTAAAGTCTAGGAGGATAGGGGCCATCTGTAGAGATCTTGTCTTATGGAGATTTGTGTATATCAGCTTTTTCTTTTTCTTGTGACTATCTCATTGTCCCTCCACAAACTTTTTGAAATGTGGCTTCTATTTTTGCTTCTGTCTTTGTATATTCCTGTGTCAGCAAATGGTTATTGGGACTTCTTTGTGGGGCCCTATGCATACTTATGAGGTCAGGAGTATGTTTCCTCAGAGGTTTGTGCAGGCTCCTACCAAAATCCACTCTTTTTTCTTGAAGGGAGCAGGTGCCACCTCCAAGTTGCTTGGTGATGTCTCTTCCACTTGTCTAGATCATCTGGCCAGCTAGATCTCCTGGGTTGGTTTAAGTAGTGATGACATGTTGCTGGGGGGAGAGGGGAATGAGTGGGTTAGCACTCTGCTTCCTTGCAAAGTTGTCTCACTCAATACTGCCCACAAGAGTAGGGAACAGTGCAAGGGACTCCTACAGCTCAAACCCTTAGCCCAAACTCTGTTGGCAACATCTATTTTTCAAAACCCTTTGAAGAAGTAGGAAAAATGGTCCTGTGCTGCTTCTGTGTTTATATCCTATAGTCTAGTGATCCTGTGTCCTTTACTTTAGTGAAACCAACTTAAAAGTGAAGCAGGCCATCACCAGTACCGGTGACCTGGAAGATAATCTGGAGCTGCTTTCTGTCTTTGATGGTAAGTTAGGAAATAGGTTTACCCACCCAAACTTTCATCAGGAGAGGACTGGCTAAATAAAATACAACACATCCATACAGGGAATTCTACTCAATTCATTACAGACAATATGCAAGTTGATGTTTGTTTATTTTGCATTGCTGGGAATTGAACCCAGGGCCTTACGACGCATGCTCAGCAAGTACTCTACCACTAAACCACATCCCCAGCCCACAAGTTGATATTTATTGACATAGAAAAATAGTTATGCCATATTAGTAGGAGAAAAAATGCATGTAATGAAAGATTGCATAGTATATGTAACATAAACCTATTTGTGGAAACATGAATGTTTGATGTATAGGGGAAAAAACTTGAAAAGATATTCTTCAAAAGGTTAATAGCACTTTTCTCTAAACAATGGATAGATTTTACCTTATCATTTTAAGTATAGCATAAATACTTACAAAAGATATATGTACTAATCAGGAAGATGTTAAATTATTTCCATTTTGAAAAAAATACTAGGTTTTCTTTAAGTATTTTTTTTCGTTTCTTCACATTTAGAGATCAACCGATCTGGCAGTACTGATGATAATAAGTTATGTGAGTTTTCCTCTCTTGATGATCCATGTCACATACATAATTATTTTTCTTTGATGTCCAGAAACCTTTATTTGCTTTTCTGAAGGGAGCTGGTAAGAAATAGGGAGCAGCTGAGACAGAATAGGAAAAAAATGTCATGAGTTTTCTTTCTATTTTTCTGTTGTGTCTCCTTCCATCCTGTTAGGAAAACCTAAATATTACAGAGCCAGAAATTTCACTCCTTTGTTTTTCTGCAGGAGAAGTGAAGTGTGATCCTCCCAATAACAAGTTAGATAAATTCACAGGAATCCTGACCTATAAGAGGAAAAGCTACCCCTTGGACCATGACAAGCTGCTGCTCCGCGGCTGCATCATCAGGAATACAGATTGGTGTTTTGGCCTGGTCATTTATACTGGTACGTTTCCCTGAAGCCATAACCAGACTCTCAGCCTGTTGGAATCTGTTGTGGATAGTTAGTTTTTAGGATATGGATATGACATCAGCTGTATATCAGTACTCTATGGTTTAGAAATAGGTAGCTACAGAGTGGTAGATATGTGTATGTAAAATTTTTTTATTTCTTAGAAAACAAAGTGACTTATGTTTTCCAGGCAGTGAGCTTCCAACATATCAGCTCCACCTTTGTTAGAGAAAGGCTTTGTGTTCAAGATCACAGAGCATTCATGAGTCTTTCCAACCAAATGTGGATACAATGAAGGGTATACATATAGAGAAAGGAAGAGAACTTGCATATGAAAGGGGAGAGATTCATCTGGACTACTCTCATGAGGAGATAATAGAGATAGTGCTCATTATGGAAAAATAAAAGTATAATATGAAAAGTTCACATCAGAAGGTACCACAGTTAGAATCACAGCGCATAATACTTAGAGCAAGAGATGTTCTTGGATTATATTATGGTTCAGGAAAGTAAAGGAAGCCTCTGTGATATGTCCTCAGTGATAATTGACAACTGTGTTAGTTAACTTTCTTTTTAAAACTCCCCCCCCCCAATGTCCCTCCTGGGCAGTGGAAAGGCTGGCAGCGAAAAGACCACACGACATGGAAGTAATTTTTTATAAAGCGGGGCAAGGCAGCTCTTTGACCTTATAAGCAAGAGAGAGAGCATGAGCCCACGGTTGGTTGGTTTATTTATTTATTTATTTATTTAAAATTTATTTATTTTTTTAGTTGTAGTTGGACACAATACCTTTATTTGTTTTTATCTGGTGCTGAGGATCAAACCCAGGGCCTCGCACATGCTAGGTGAGCACTCTACTGCTGAGCCACAACCCCAGCCCTACGTGTGGTTTATTTTTATATGGGGGATACACAAAAGGCTTTTCCGTAGAATATTCTTCACCAAATCAGGCAGAGAAAGTCTGGAGAAAGCTATGAGAAAGCAGACTTCCTAGCCAAGGGAAGGCAGTGATCACCTGCATTGGGCAGAGTGGGAGGAGCCCCAGGGCAATGCCAGATCAAAACCTTCTTGGATCAAGGCTGAGTGAAGATGCTATCTATAATAGCTGAGGGGTGGCCTCCCACAAAAAAAATATTTTTAGCTTGTCCAGGGAGGCCCTGGTGGAATGTCTTTCCTTGGTTTTTTACCTGAAATGGTAGCTTAGAAGCTAGTTCCCAAACTCAAAAGATGTAAAATAGACTTATTTTCCTTACTGTACTAAAAGTACAGTTTTCACTAACAAAACATTCATTTTTGTGAGGATGGCCTTAGGCCCGAGCCTAAGCAACTCCATTTTAAAACTCCAGATTGAAACCTGCAGTCTGACCAGCCATGCCTCATGGAGCCCTCCAGTATGGCCCTCAGACACAAACAAATCACTTCTCCCCACCCTGACAAACTCAGAGTGAAGTCTCTGGCATGTTGTCCTCACCCTGATAAGGGAGAAAGGCAAGAAAATCAGGGTGGAGACCACCAGACCAGATGCTTTAACCTGAGGATGAATGATAGCAGCTGATAGGGATTGAAAAGGGTGGTCAGAAGCCCCAAAATTTAGTATAATGATGGAGCAGATGAACAGACATTCAGCCAGCCAACACTGATACACACAAGCCTGAGAGCCTGATGAAGACCTGGACTGACATCCCAACTCTTCTCATCTGCCTGATCCCTTCTGCATTGCTCTCCCCGCTCTCAAACTCTACAGCAGCCTCTTGACTCTGGTGAGAAAAGGACTTTTCCCTATGACCACCTCCTCAGCCAGCCTCAGCTCCACCCCAGGAGAAGCCTGCCTTGGTTCCTGATCTGATCACCATGGTCTGAGTGAGTGTGCATCTGCTGGACTTAGAGCCTAAGGCTTGAGACTTATGACCTGACACTTGAGCTTAGCACGCAGAGGGAATGTCTGTCATGAGCCTGTCATGATTAAGTGTGTTTGCAGTGGTTAGAATTAATATAGAGTTATTTGCTGTGAATTGATTATGTCTATTGCAGTGCCTAGCATTAAGGGTTGTCATTTCCTTGATTAAGAATCTATAGAGTGAAATTGTATTGAGTGATTTGAGAGAATAAAGCATTGACAAAGGCGGAAGTGTGTGGACATTTTTTATTTCTCCCCCTTGACTGCATAAGCCACACCTTTTGCCATCGTGACAATTTTTCAGCCAAAATTCTTTATCTTACCCAAAGCAATAGCCATTAGGTTGCTTACTCTCACAACTCAGTTAAGGTTTCCCTCCGATTCTTGGTTGGTTACATGGTCATGAGCAGCTTTGGGAAGCTCCACACAAAGAACCAATGCTACCAAGGGCATCCTGAGGTACTCAGTACAGAGTTTAGTTTCTGTTCCTGCTGCATGATGCCAAGTTCTACCATGATCTTCACCTTCTTTTTGAAACCCAGGTGAGTGGGCCCAGTCTTTCTAAGGACTATGGAAGATATGGTCTCTGTTGCTTCCAGGCTCTGAACCAAATTTTGCATTACTTCAAACCCTTCAAGGAATGCTTCAGAGGAAAGAATGGTACATTTTATGTTGTGCACTCCCAGTGTTGCCCACATTCCACAGTAGTTACAGTTCTTCTGTGGGGAAACATGAGTGAAATTCCCTCTGTAGAGCACATGTAAAAATAATGATCAGATGGTAAAAGGCTAGAGAAATTGCTACCTAGTGTCTTCTATCCTCTTATACTTCTCTGAAGCCATATCTCTAATTAATAATTTGTAGCTCTAATCTCAATGGCTATTAATCACTCCTTACTTCTACTTACTATCTGCCCTTCCATGAAGAAATAGGTTCTCATCTCTCAACCCCACAGAAGCTTAGCCTCTAGCTCATACTTCAAGTAAGATCACTGCCATTGCCTCTTCCTTTATTCCATTCCCAGTTAGAAGCTTTAAGTATATCCTGGCCCAGCAGTGGGGTTACTGAAAAGAAGGCAGAGATCTTTGTATCAGGAAATTCTTTCCCTGATCTAAACAAACCAGGTGGTAATAAGAGAGAAGCTTAAGAATTCCTATTCTGAATTAACTCATCTCAAAAAATATGTCAGAACTGTCTGAGGTGCTAAAAAGAGAGGAGTCAGCATGAATGCATTTCACAGAAGTATTCTGGACTATCCTCAGAAACAAATGTTCCCTTTTGGAGTTACTCGTACCATCTGTGATCTTTTCTTCAGAGCTTTGCCTCCTGGAATTGCATAAGAGGTTAGAATAGGTAATCATAGAGTTATATTTCAATCCAATTTCAAGACTCTGAGTCTGATATCTCTCTGTTTTACTTAGGGCCAGACACCAAATTAATGCAGAACAGTGGGAAATCCATCTTTAAACGGACACATATCGACCATCTCATGAATCTCTTTGTGATCTGGGTAAGTTAAAGACTTTTTTCCTCTGCTTTTTTTTTCTTTGGTGGTGATGGTACTGAGGATTGAATATAGAGCCTCACACATGTGCCATTGAGCAACATCTGCAAAACTTTTTATTTTTTATTTTGAGACAGCATTTCACAAAGTTGCCCAAGATGGCATTGAACTTGCAATCTCCTGCCTCAACATCATGAATTGCTGGGATTATTAGTGTTCCCAACTTTCACTCTGTTTACAAATAGACTTCCACAGGAGTAGCTAGATTTCCAACTTGTAATTTAGTTGTTTGAAAGTCTCAAGTTTTAGGACTCTACAGTGTAAAGTCTGAAGCAGAAAAGAACAGAACCAATTTATAAAGGATTCTAGTTTATACTTCTGTTGTGGGGAACAGTGAAAATTTGTTTAATAAGATATTACACATTGGGCTAGGGTTGTGGCTCAGCGGTAGAGCACTCGCCTAGCCCGTGTGAGGCCCTGGGTTTGATCCTCAGCACCACATAAAAATAAAATAAAGGTATTGTGTCCAATTACAAATAAAAAATAAAATATTTTTAAAAAAGAAATTACACTTTGATTAGTAGTACCAAAACATCCTACTTTAGAAATTAAAACATTTTTATTTTCTCATAATCAATTTTACTCATGATCACTTTAATAAAGACTCACTGAACTAATAGAACACCTTATTTAAACTGATGATTTTCAAATTCTATTTTCTTAGAAGAGTGCTGCATGGAGAATAGGAGAGGTCAAGTGGGTTTTGTTCTAGCCTCATTTGAAGTTCCTATTTCAAAAAGAGTAGCTTAACATTTATCTGTTTGATAAGATTTCAGTTGGAAAAATAGGGGGTTCTTCTGTTGAGAAATAAAATTATAAAAGCACTATAAAATATGAAAATCAGCTTCGGTAACAGAAGTTTAAATTAAAGACTTAATAATTTATGTCCATGCTATCTGATATAGGTTGCCTTTGTTCTTTCTGGATAGAGAACAATTGATTTCTTCACTTAACTTCTTTGCATTACTGAGCAGTTCCAGTGATACCTATACTTAATTTCATGACTTTCTGTTTTCATTTTTATTCTGTTGCTAAACTGAACATTTTAAAAATACCTTTTCTTTCTGTATACTTCGCATCAATATCTGAATTATAAACTGCCTTTTCTTCTACATTTATTATGAGGAAACAGCACAGTTCTTTTCAAAATCCTTTGAGATTTAGTATAAATGGTTTCAGAAAATTAGGACAGTTCATTCAGCTTTGGAACCCGTAGCAATTATCCACTATCCTTCTTTTTATGCCACTGAATGTATAACTTTCAGCAGTTGAACAAAGTTCCATTTTCTGGCTTTTTTTTAAGGTACCCTGGATTGAACCCAGAAAAGCTCTACCACTGAGCTACATCCCTAACCTTTTTTTATTTTTTTGAGGCAAGGTCTAGCTAAATTGCTGAGATCACTGTAATCCTCGGTCACTGGGATTACAGGTATGCACCACTATGCCCAGCTTCCCAGCTTCTTAATGAGAAAGACAATCATAGTCAAGAATTCAGAAAAGGTGATATAGGCACATATGCTTTTGATAATATTAGGAACATGTAACATTAGCCAATTAGCTAGGTATTTTGGCCTAGGCTCCAACACAGGATGTGTCCCATCTGCCTAAAAAAGTTCCAGCTATTGGTATACCTTCTGAAAGGCAGTAGCAGTATTTGACATCTATAGAAGGATTTTTTTTTTTTTTTGGTTGTTGTTGTATAACCGTTTATTGCTTTGTCTCTCCAAGGGGAATGGAGGCCCCAGGAGGGCAGAAAAATCTTAGTTCAGAGATCTATACTCAGCTTCCAGATGTCCAGGCAAAGGGTCCAGGGCCACTCTGGTGGCCTGTCCCATCCCTCCAGCCTAGAGTTGGCTCTTGGGAGGGGTGAGCATGTAGCTGCTGGTTACAGAGGACTGCCCCTGTATGCAGTGACATGGCAGGCCCCATCTGCAGTGGAGGGGGCTCAGCGAGATGCAGGGTCTCCTGGTTCCAGGACATGCCTGAGTCTTTGGCACCCCAGTGTTAGAGTCTGAGGCCAACAAAGGCACCCGTGGGTCTGGTGGAGTCCGGGTCTGGTGCCTGGTGCCTACCTTGGTCCTTCCCAAAGTATAGGCACGGAGGGACTGGGTGGCTGAGCGTGCTCTTTTCCTAGGATTTGAGGTTGGAGTTCAAGAGCAACCCAGAGATGGCAGTGGATGTCATTGCCTCAGCCTTGGGGGTACCCTATTGTCCTGATCATGGAGGGTCCGGGGCTGGGATGGGCAGTGCTGCCTGGTCTGAGTCTGCCATATCCCTCTATCTCTTGGTAAGAGCCAAAGGTGGGGGCGTCAGGATAGGCAGTCCACAGTTTTAGACAGGTAGTGGGGTGCGGTCGGTGGGAGATGCCAGCTGCAAGGTTCCTGGGTGGGTCTCGGCGGGCCTGGGTGTCAGGGTGCAACAACTGTCCTCAGCAACAGCAGCAACCAAAAGGGCAGCAACACGATGGTGGCGGCAGGGCGGGGACCCACAGCACTGCTCTGGCTTGCTAAGGGTGCCAGGCCGCAGGCCTCGTAGGGCTCCAGGCAGGCGGCGAAGGCAGTGACGTGCGCAGAGTAGTTCTGCTCCTGCACCACGTGCACCAGGTGCGCCTGCGGGCAGCGCGCGAACACTGCCACGTCCTCGCCTCTCTGCGTCTCCCCTGACAGGGCTTTTGAAGGATTTTAACTTTCACAATATTTACACACCATTAATTACAGCCTCACTACATCCATAAGCAATAAGGAAGTTAAGAAGGATTTTCCCCTTTTGACATGTCAATTGAGAAAGAATAAAGTATCATGAAGTTCCACAGAAATATAATGGCAAAGACAGGCTTATGACTCATGAAGTTATCGAGTCATATTTATTGAGAATCTATTATGTGCTCAGCATGTGCTGGATGTAGTGAGAATTATAAAGGTGTATAAGAAATGGTTGTAGCCGAGGATGTAGAGCTGGCTGTACCTGACGGCGCGTCTGACACGAAGCTGGATAGGGTAGAGGGTAGGGGGCGGTAGTCAGGGGTGGGGCGAGAAGGAGGAGGCTGCGAATCACTTATAAATAGCGCCCAAGCAAGACCCGAAGCCGAAATTCCAGGAGGGTGAGCGAGTGCTGTGCTTTCATGGGCCTCTCCTTTATGAAGCAAAGTGCATTAAGGTTGCCATAAAGGACAAACAAGTGAAATACTTTATACATTAGAGTGGTTGGAATAAAAAAAAGTGCTGTGAGGCCCAGGCGTTCTGAAAAAACTTTGAAGACACATGAGGATATTGTAGCCCTTTTTCCTGTTCCTGAAGGAGCTCCCTCAGTACACCACCCGCTCCTGACCTCTAGTTGGGATGAATGGGTTCCAGAGAGCAGAGTGCTCAAGTATGTGGATACCAATCTGCAGAAACAGCGAGAACTCCAAAAAGCCAATCAGGAGCAGTATGCAGAGGGGAAGATGAGAGGGGCTGCAACAGAAAAATGTTGAAGTGAAAACCAAAAGGAACAAACAGAAAACACCTGGAAATGGAGATGGTGGCAGTACCAGTGAGACACCCCAGCCTCCTCGGAAGAAAAGGGCCCAGGTAGATCCTACTGTTGAAAATGAAGAAACATTTATGAACAGAGTTGAAGTTAAAGTAAAGATTCCTGAAGAGCTAAAACCATGGCTTGTTGATGACTGGGACTTAATTACCAGACAAAAACAGCTCTTTTATCTTCCTGCGAAGAAGAAGAATGTGGATTCTATTCTTGAGGATTATGCAAATTACAAGAAATCTCGAGGAAACACAGATAATAAGGAGTATGCTGTTAATGAAGTTGTGGCAGGAATGAAAGAATACTTCAGTGTAATGCTGGGCACTCAACTAACTGCTCTACAAATTTGAGAGACCACAGTATGCCAAAAACCTTGCTGATCATCCTGATGCACCCATGTCCCATGTTTTATTACTGAATTATCTTCATGATTTCCTCAAGTACCTGGCAAAGAATTCTGCAACTTTGTTTAGTGCCAGCGATTATGAAGTCGACCTTCCTGAATACCATCCGAAAGCAGTGTGAGGAGGTATACTTCATTCACTTGTGTTTGGATCTCTGTAAACACATTTTTGTTCTTAGTCCTTCTCTTGTACAAATGATGTACTTTGAAGATGTTAGTGTATAACAAAATTGATGTTTGTTTTCTGTTTGAATTTAAACAGAGAAAATAAAAGGGGTTACTGCTCCTTTTTTCCTTTCTTTCTTTTAATTTCATTTCAAAGTTGCTACTAGTGTATTCAATGATGGACAACAGAGAAACATGCTGTAGAGTGTTTGCCTAGTTGACAAAGCTGCTTTTGAATGCTGGTGGTTCTATTCCTTTGACACTACACACTTTTATAATATGTGTTAATGCTATATGACAAAATGCTCTGATTCCTAGTGCCAAAGGTTCAATTCAGTGTATATAACTGAACACACTCATCCATTTGTGCTCCTTTTTTTTTTAATGGTGCTTAAAGTAAAGAGCCCATCCTTCGCAAGTCATCCATGTTGTTCCTTAGGCATTATATCTTTGCTCAAATTGTGGAAGAATGGTGGCTTGTTTCATGGTTTTTGTATTTGTGTCTTATGCACATTTTAACATGATAGATGCAATGCATTGTGTAGCTACAGTTTTCTGGAAAAGTCAAATCTTTTAGGAATTGTTTTTCAAAACTTCAATAAATTTTTTCTTTAAATTTCAAAAAAAAAGAAATGGCTGTAGCCCTCAAGTTTAGAACCCATTGTGGGGAAGGCCTCAATATCAATATGTGCCAGTTGCTTTACATGTATCATTTTAGTCAGTAATCACATCTATTCAACAGACATAACTCTTCATCATCAATGTTCTTTCTGCTATACTTGCTGTTTCCTTGGGGAGACAAAATTAAAACATAAGGCAAATACTGTTTAACATGGCAGATTAACATGTAAAGAAATTATGAAACTAAAAGGGAGATCCTAAAGGTTTCCAGGGAGGAAAAAAGGTCATACACAAAGATCAGGAATCAGAATAACATTTGACCACCTCAACAGCAAAGAGCAGAAGATACCTATTAATGCTTACAAAAGTCTTCCAGGAAATTATTTGCAACTTTTAAGTCTAAATCCAGTGAAACTATCAGTGAAATTGAAGTGTAAATAAATATTGATATATTTTTATTTTCTCATAATCAATTTTACTTATGATCACTTTAATAAAGACTCACTTGAACTAACAGAACACCTTATTTAAACTGATGATTTTCAAATTCTATTTTCTTAGAAGAGTGCTGCATGGAGAATAGGAGAGGTCAAGTAGGTTTTGACAAAGACAAAAAAAATTTACTCATCAAATATCCTTTCTCAGCAAACTTCAAGAATATATACTCAAGCCAGGTGTGGTGGTATACGCCTGTAATCCCAGCAACTTAGAAGGCTAAGGCAGGACAATCACAAGTTCGAGGACAGCGTAAGCAACTTAGTGAGGCCCTAAGCAACTTAGTGAGACCTTTATTAAAATAGAAAAGGAAAAGACTTGGGGATATAACTCAATGGTAAAGTATCCGATAGACACAATACCTTTATTTTATATATTTATTTTCTGGTGCTGAGGATCAATCTCTACTCAAGCTAAACAGAAGATAAGACAGAAGTATAAACCAAGAAGGAAGCAGCTAAGGAAGCCAGGAAGCATGGCCGTAGTGGAAGGAAGCCCCGGGATGGGGGCCAAACAGCAGGCCTAGAAAACAACTAGTAAGATCAGAGTAGGCTTGGAGAGGGATCTGTGTAGGTGTCTTCAGAGGATGTGGGTCTCTGCTCAGGCTCTCAGCTAGTAACTGCTGCAAAGGCCCTGCATTTGTGAGATCCTTCATAAGGATCTTTCCTTCAGGAAGCATGGGATGTTTTCTGAGGTAGTGAGTTCACTTCAAGGCATCCAGTTGAAGAAGGATGTGAAGACTTCCCATTAAAGTTAAATAAAATGACTGTAAAGAAATACAAATGGAAAATAAATACCTAACATTTGGGACACAGAATGAAGACCTATCAGCAGACCCGAGATGATTTTGGCATGCAAATAGATTATAAAGCAGAGTAAGGAATGCTTCCATAGAAATACATTCTTCTTGGTAGCACTTAAGAGTGGCTCCAAGCTGGAATCAGCAGGAATGGAGAGCAGTGTGGGATGTGGGGCAATAATTAGAGTAATTAATTTTAAAACTGTCCATAAAACAACATGAGCAACAGCCAGGTGTGGTGGTGCATGCCTTCAATCCCAGTGGCTTGGGAGACATAAATTTAAGGCCAGCCTCAGCAAATTAGCAAGGCCCTAAGCAACTTAGTGAGACCCTGTATCAAAATAAAAAACAAAAGGGTCAGGGATATGGCTTAGTGGTAAAGTGCCCCTGGGTTCAATCTCCAGTACAAAAAACAAAAAACAAAACATGGGCAACAGTTGTACCTTCCTACTACCTATATAAACAAATATATTTGCCTTCTAGTCCTAAAATAGAAAACTGTTTTTGAAAGAAATTTAACAACCTACCTGAAGAGGGCTAGAGATTTTGTTTTTTGTTTGTTTTTAGTTATAGATAGACACAATACCTTTATTTTATATATTTATTTTCTGGTGCTGAGGATCAAACCCAGTGCTTCACACATGCTAGGCATGTGCTCTACCACTGAGCTGCAGCCCCAGCCCTTGTTTTTGTTTTTTTTATGTCTGGTGCTACTGGAGATCTCAGGGCCCTGCATGTGCTAGGCAATTGCTTGTATCCCTGAGCCACATCCCAAGGACTACGGCTTCTAGTGTGTCAATACTTCAGAGTAAAACCCACTTAATTTTAAATCAGGGAGGTTCAAATGTGCCTAAAAGTTCCCTGTGTACCTAGGAACAATATGTTCTATCTTCCTATTCATGGGTCTCCATTCAGGAGAATGCCCTACTAGGGAGAAAAAATTTACCAAAGAAAGCAAAACCTACACCAGAAACCTATAATGATCAAACTATTTTTTTAATTATTTATCTTTATTTATTTATTTTTATGTGGTGCTGAGGATTGAACCCAGCACCTGCACGAGCTAGGCAAGCGCTGTACCACTGAGCCACAATCCCAGCCCCCAAACTATTCTTTTGTTCATATTTTTAAGTGGACTGGAGGAACCTGGTAGCACAAAAAGAAGAATAAGGGTCCAATAACTGACCCTGGAATAAACAGATTATAATTCAAGGAGAAGAACTTTCAAAAAAATTTTGGACTATTTTTAGAAGCAGCAGTTGCATACAAGAAATAATAAGTTGCTTAGAGAAAAAAGGAAGATTAAAAGAAAAGAAATTATAAAAAGGAATTTTAGAAAGTAAAAACAAGACTATTAATGTTAAAAAGCCAGAAAACGTGCTAAAATTGAGCCGGGAAACTCCCCTGAACCATAAAACAAAGAGACAAAGAGATAGAAAATATGAGAGGATTTGTTTGTTTTAACAGAGGACCAAATAGAAGAGTTGGGCAAGGAGGGGTCCCTCATATATTTTCATAGGGATAAGAAATAAGATGATGACAAAAAGAGGGGGACGGGGGGGGGGGGGGGGGAGAAAAAGAGAGAGAGAGAGAGAGAGGAGAGAGGAGAGAGAGAACCAGATTGGCATGGGACTTCTCATGCAGCACTGGGTCCTAGAAACCAGTAGGGTACATTCCTTCACAGTTCCTAGTGAAAATGACTTTGACTTAGATATTTGACATATATATATATATATATCTCCAATTAAACAACAAATCAAGTGAGAGAGCAAACTTGTTCCTGCCTTAGGATGCTTACCCTTGCTGGCAATGTCTGCCCTCAAGTCTGCATGGCTTGCATCTTTTCCAACATTTCAGAGAAGCCTTCTGGGCACATGGGTTCATTGACTATTTATATACTTTAATGTATGTTTGAAATTTTTCACAATAAAAGATTTTTTTAAAAAAAATCTCAGTTTCTAAGAATGGTCCCAGTCAGACCTGTTTCTATTTCAACCTGCCTTGCTATTCTTATCTTCAAAGATTTCCTCATCAGTGGTACACAGATAGGACCTCTGATCATCTACCAATGGGTTGCCTTGAACTATCTAAACCTGTGACCAGAATCACCAATTTGAAGACCACTGGGTAGACTTAGAGGTCATTCACATAATATCATGCATGTCTTCTCTATAGGCATGTGAGCATACAGTATTGGTGAGATGTAAAGTGGTATAAGCACAGTAAAACATTTGGCAGTATCTTAAAAAGTCAAACATTAATTTACTGTAGGATTTACTAACTCCACTCCAAGTTATTTCCAAAGGAAATGAAAGCTTATGTCTTTGAAAAGATTATTCAGAAGTGTTCACTGCAGCTTTATTTGTAATAGCCAAAAACTGGAAACAACCCCAATATTCCATAAAAGGCAAATTAGTACACAAATTGTGCATTAGCTATACAAAATAATACTATTCAGCAATATAAATGAACCATTGATAGATGCAAAAATATAGATGAATCCCAAAATCATTTTGCTGAGTGAAAAGAAGTCAGACCAATAAAAAGAGTGTCATGCTAATATGATTCCATTTACATGAAATTCTTAAAAAAGAAAACTGAACTGGGTGTTGTGGCACATGCCTGTAATCCCAGTGACTTGAGAGACTGAGGCAGAAGAATCACAAGTTGAGGCCAGCCTTAGCAAATTAGTAATGCCCTAAGCAACTTAGTGAGCCCCTGCCTCAAAAAGTAAAAAGGGCTGGGAATGTAGCTCAGTGGTAAAGAGCCCCTAGAATCAATACCCAGTACCCGCCCTCCCGCCAAAAAAAAAAAAAAAAAGAACGAAACTGATCTAAAGTTGTATGGGGATCAGAGGAAGAGAAGAGTGGGAAGGAAGAATTATAAAAGGGCACAGGAAACTAGCCAGTATTTTGTTACCTTGAGTAGGGTAAAGGTTTCATAGGCATATATGTATATATATGTGTGTGTGTGTGTATATATATATATATATATATATATATATACACATTATGTACATATATACTTATGTACCTATATATCAAGTTGTATTCTTTAAGTATGTACAAATTTAGGGGGATAGTGACTAGAAGGGGGACATACAGTGGGTTCTGGATGCTGGAAATGTCATCTGATTGTTAGTTTAATTAGTGTGATGACTTTGGGAAAATTTATCAACTTACATGTTTGTGATTTCTTTTTGTGGAGGGATACTACAACAAAACTACATCCCTAGTCCTTTTTTTGTTTTTTTTTTTTTTTGAGACAGGGTCTCACTGAGTTTCTGAGGCTGGCCTTGAACTTGGGAGCCTCCTACCTCAACCTCCCAAGTAGCGGGGATTACAGGCATGCACCACTGTGCCCAACTATATGATTTTTGCATGTGTGTTCATGTTCATTAACAATTAAATGTTAAATAATTTTAAATAAAGGGCATGAGCTGGGCATGTGGAACATGTCTGTAATCCCAGCAACTCAGGGTGTTCGGGCAGCTGAGGCAGGAAGATCACAAGTTCAAGTTCTAGGCTAGCCTAGACAACTTAGCAAGATCCTGTCTCAAAATTAAAAGATAAAAAGGTCTGGGGATGTAGCTCAGTGGTAGAACACCCAAGTTCAATTCTCAGTGTTGCCCCCACCCCCCGAAAAAAAAAGTCTTGAGGGATTTTTTCTCATTAAACTTTGTTTTAATGGATCTCAAAATTCTGTGATACATTTTTAGTTGAATTGTTTCCATTAAAAAGTATTGATTTTAAATGCAAATAACTTAAAACTGACACACTCACAAAAAAATGATCCACAAAACATTCTTCTTTAAAAGAAGTCAAATTATCATTATTTTCAGATGATATGATCCCATACTTAGCAGTCTTTTCTCACGAAAAGACTGCTAGAGCTAATAAACAAATTCAGCAAACTAGCCAGTTACAAAATCGACATGCAAATTAATAGCTTTTCCATATATCAACAATGAATCTGCTCAGAAAGAAGTCAGGAAAATAATTCCATTCACAATAGCTTTCTTTTATTTCAAAAATAAAATAAAATACCTAAGAATAAATCTAAAGAAGGAGGTGAAAAACCTCCACAATCAAAACTATAGAACATTGAAGAAAGAAATTAAGTAGTACTTGATATAATTTATTTTCAAAACCCCAAGGATGGTTCATGCTGGACTTTCTTTTCTGTCTTGTGTACTAATGCCTGGGGCCTATGAACTATAGGACTTCCTTGTCCTATAACGAAAGAGACATTTTACTGAAAGATAAGGCTCCATAAGTTTGAACTGAAGCAGCATGTATCTTGGATGAAATGTTCATTTAATTCATCTCTTTTATTTTCTTTTGTTATATAGATTTTCCTGATTTTAGGCGTCATGTGTATTATCCTAGCAATTGGGCATGGTATTTGGGAGACCAAGAAAGGCTACCACTTCCAGATTTTTGTGCCATGGGAAAGTTATATCTCTTCATCAGTTATCTCTGCCATGTTCACTTTCTGGTCCTACTTCATTATTCTCAACACCATGGTGCCCATTTCTCTTTATGTAAGGTAGGTGTCTTTGATCATTTGGGGTTATAGGGAAAGGGGTTGACTTCATACTTCCTGCTTAATTCTCAAACTAGAGCATGAACTTATAGAAAGAATATACTACATGCTGTGTACTCTTTACTTTCCACATGCATGGTATATAAAACATTCTGAGAGATATATGGAGAGTACATAAATGCCTTCCATGTCTAGAATACTGAGCTATATACTACATGGTCTGTACAAAAAGAAAACCATCTCTGCCCTCAAATAAGCTGCGAGTGACTAAAAAAGACATACAAACACACGAAACAATTTGAAAAAAGACACAAATTTTGTGATGCTGAAACCAGGCCAGGCAGCGTCTATTACCAATGAGATAGGATCTAAACATTCATTCATATGTCAGTCACTTAGTACTCAAGAGTATATTTTCCCATAGAAACAAAATGGCAAATGGTAGATAGGTGTGGTTATGATCTAACTTCAGTCCCTAAAAGTTAGAGAAGAGGAAGGGTGTTTCCTCCCCACTTTTTTTTTTCTTTTAATAGTTTTTTAGTTCTCAATAGACCTTTATTTTATTTATTGGTACGTGGTGCTGAGACTTGAACTCAAGGCTTCACACATGCTAGGCAAACACTCTACCACTGAGCCACAACCCCAGCCCTCCCCCCCTTTTTTAAAAGAATACATGTTTATTTTTTTTTAGTTGTAGTTGGACACAATACCTTTGTTCCATTCATTTCTTTTTATGTGGCCCTGAGGATCGAACCCAGGGCCCTACACATGCTAGGTGAGCACTTTACTACGACTGAGCCACAATCCCAGCCCCTCTTCCCTTTTTTTAATAAGCACCTTGGACAAAAATTTGAAATAGATGAAACAAGTCTTCACCATACTTTGGTATTACTTTTCTGAGTTAAGCATTCCTTTGCACATACAGAGACCCAAATGTGTTTTAGTTTCCTCCTTTCCTAAGGCCGTCAGTATGACATCCCAGCCTCCAAAAGCATTGCCTTGTTTAATAAATATTTATTGAACACCTACTATGTGCCAAGCAATATACTAGGTATTAGAGCTAGAAACATGAATAAGGAGCCATCCCTTTCCCTAGAGCTTGCAGTGTAGCCATGGAAACACACACATAAATAAAGAATTATGGTATAATATGAAAAAAATGATGAAACTGAAATATTTAAGTGCTATAGGAGCCTTGAGAAGGGATAGATAAATTCTATCTGTAGAGGTGAGGAAGGTTTTCAGAAAAGGTAATAATCAAACTGATATTTGGAAAAACAGATAAAGAACACTGCAAGCAGAAAGTTCAGCATGTACAAAAGGTGTAGAGGTTTTTAAAAGCTAAACTAAGGTATCGATTGATAATTTCAAGTCAGATCCAGAAAAGCCTTAAACTCCAGATCAAAGAGTTTGAATTTTATCCTAAAAGCAGTAAGGAACCAGCCAAGATTTTTCTAATGAAAGAAAGAATGTGATTAAATGTTCGGGTTTAGAAAGACTGATGTGGCTGGTAAAAGCCTAGAAGGGGTCAAGTATGACTCCAAGCATGAGGATCATCAATAAAGAGTCACCCATGAGAATTTGAATAATTCTTTCTTCAGCTCAAAGAAAAAGACTCAGGCTTTTCAATGCTGCTGTCTCAGACAGGGGTCACTGATAAATCAGTTTAACATACATTAAGTATGAATGATGACAAGAAGGAGGTCCCTTAAAAATCTTCATAGTTTTAAAATGAAAATGTTATTGACCATAAAATATCTATAATGCATATTATTTGCAGCAGAAGAGCAAATGTGACAAAGGCAACATGGAAATTGATAGAAACAGAGAGGCCATTAGGGAAAAGGCACCCCACAGGCAGGCTGACTACCTAGGAATTTTTCAGGTCAGCCCATAAGCCATTTCTGGTTTTCACAGCTTCTTCTCTTCTTCTGAAACAATGAAACTCTGAGTATGACAGGTTTCTCTCTCTTCTCCACAATATAGCAGAATTAATCTTTTAATTAGGTCAGCATAGCCTTTTATAAGTCAAATAATATTCCAAAAGTTAAAAATTTGTGACTTTTCCTGGATGCATTTTAGAAAAAGTGAAAGGGGAGTGCAACTCAGACAAGTTAATCAGGTATATCTGGATCTAGGTGGTAAAGCCTTTCATGGTGATAGTCAAGGTCAGTTTTTTTAATATTTATTTTTTAGTTGTAGGTGGATACAATATCTTTATTTTATTTTTATGTGGTGCTGAGGATTGAACCCAGTGCCTCACACATGCTAGACGAGCACTCTACCATTGAGCAGCCACCCCAGCCCTCAAGGTCAGTTTTGATGTGCTGCCTGCTAAGAAAGTTCCCTCAGGAGGGCAGGTTCCTAGAGAAGATGCTCTGATTTTCAGATGCTGGCTCCTGACCTGCCATGGGACCAGTAAGAAGAAACCAAGATAATGTATTTGTCATGCTCTGACCAAGACCTTTCTTTTCTTGCTTTCTCCTTAGTGTTGAAATAATAAGACTAGGCAACAGTTTTTATATCAATTGGGATCGGAATATGTTTTATCAACCAAAGAACACCCCAGCACAGGCGCGCACTACCACACTAAATGAGGAGCTTGGCCAGGTCAAATATTTGTTCTCTGATAAAACAGGGACATTGACTCAGAACATCATGATTTTCAACAAGTGTTCTATCAATGGAAAGGTCTATGGTACGTATGCCTTCTTGCTTTCCTGAGTCCTAGAAAAATTCTGCTTTGCTAGTTTAAGAGTAAACTAGTTATACTGACCATAAAAAAATTAAGATCCTTATTCCAGAGGGATCCTATACTACACCCAGGAGGAAGAAAAGCCACAACTGAGTAGCCAGGAAGAATCTGAATAGACAGACCTTGCTAGGTTTCTCCACTAGAATCTATTGCCATTAGTTCAGATCCTTAATTAGTCATCCAGGGTCTTGGATTTTTGATCTGAGAGTGTCTTTATCATATAAAATTATTATCAAATAAATGTGTCATGTTTTTCTCCCATGGTGGGGGAAAAAGAGTAAACTAGCTTTAAATCTATGAGCTTCTGAAATTCACATTTACCTACTATTCTCATAGTCCTTTCTATTCACTAAGCAAAAAACACCCAGCCCACTCAGTTCCAACCAAAAAGTGCAAATATAGTACCTTGTAGATGGAGTCCATTGTGTGGATACTGAGAATACCAAAATGTGCGAGACTTAGTCTCTGTCCTCAAGGAATTCACAATGTACTGAGGAAAAACAATATACTCAGTTCATTGGCTATTAAATCAGGTGGGTGTTGGTTAATGGCTACAAATTTTCAGTGAGATAGGAAGAATAAGTTTTTGAGATCTACTGCAGAGCACAATGACTATAATTAGCAATAGTATATTGTATATTTCAAAATTGATTAAAGAATATATTTCAAATATTATTACATGGGAAGTGATAATTGACATGTTAATTAACTTGACAATCATTTCACAGTGTATACATATATGAAAACATCACATTTTATCCATAAATATACCTAAATAATTGTCAATTAAAAAATAATCATAAATAACTAATTAGAACAAATAAATAAATTTAAAAGAAAAAAATTAACCATAAATAAAAATAAATCAGATAAAACAGTATAGTATTGAAGCCTCTAATCCTGATTCCCCTTTAGATCAACAAATAGACAAAGGGGAATGAAGGGAAGGGAGAGAGGATGGGAATAGAAGAGAGAAAAATGAATCACACATATCTTTCTTATCCTTGTATATGAATACACATCATATATCACCAAAGTAACAGGATCCTAATTGGAACAAATTATACTTATTCTATACATGAATAATGTGCAAAATACACTCTATCATCATGTATATCTAGAAAGAACAAAATAAACCCACAAACAGTACTGAAAGAAGCTATCACAGGGTGTTCGGTTTGATTAGTGTCTTCCATGGCTAGTCCTTCATTTATTGTATGCCTTAAACATAACCTTGTTTTTGTGAGAATTAAATCCTCATGTGTGTGAACATTCATGCCTCCTGCCCTAGACAGCAGAAGGAGGTAATCACACCTGAAAAGCTAGAGCACATGGGATTGTCTTCTGGAGTGATGAAAAAGTTTTGAACTTGAGAGAGGTAGTAGCTACACAACATTGTGAATGTATCAAATGCTCCTAAACTGTACACTTTAAAACTGTTCATTATATGTTGTGTGGATTTCACCTCAATAAAAAATTAAAATTTTTAAATTAAAAAAAGAACATTCTGATATTTTTCTATTACTATTTTAAACCAATCTTTTATTTGTATAAACTCTGAAGGCTAATTTTTTGATGAGTTGATTTAGGTGAGGATGATAATTCTCTGGCTCATTTCCCGACCTGAATGCACTGGGTAAGGTTGAAAGGATCATTTCTGTACTTGGCATCAGGTTGTCCTCCATTCATCTGTCTGTACCATCCACTGGTCAAGAATCCTAAACACTCTGTAATTAATTCCACTCCTCTTCTAGGTAACTTTTCGATTGAGAGGCTTCCTAAGTTTGGAAGTCTCTCAAAAGATACAATGACTAACCTCTAGCCTGGCCTTGAGTCTTAAGGGAAAAGAGCTGAGTGGGGCCCAATCAGAAGACTTCTTCTTGTCTTTGGTTTAGGGAAAGGAGCTTACTAGGGGCACTGAGGGTTAGGTGGCCTGAGGGGATTCGAGGCAGCTTGACTACAAACCTAAGATGAAGAATCAAAAGAAATGTTTTTAAAAACACTCCTTTAAATTATCATTGACTCAGCAATTCCATTCCTAGGTATCCCCCACAAAATGAAACAAGGACTCAAACAGATATACACAAATAGTCATTGCAACATTATTTTCAATAGCCCAAAGGTGAAAATAATTCATGTGGCCATCAACAGATGAATGGATTTTTTAAAAGTATATAAATTCAAAGGAATATTATTTCAGCCATAAAAATTAATAAAGTTTGATACATGATACAACATAGATGAACCTTGAAAACATTATGCAAAGTGAAAAGCCAGATATAAAAAAATTATGCAAAGTGAAAAGCCAGATATAAAAAGCAGAGTTCTACTTCTATGAAATACAGAAAATTGGAAAATTCATAGAAATAGAAAGTAGAATAGAGGTTACTAGAGAGGGATGGGGAGGAATAGGAAGTTTCTGTTTGGAATATTGAAAATATACAGTGGTGATAGTTGTGCAACATTGTAAATGTAGTTAATGCCACTGAATTTTACAGTTAATTTGACAGCTTTTGTGGTATATGTATTTTACCACAATTAAAATTAAACCCTCCTTTAAACCATTTGCCAAGTCTCTACTCTGTTTGCTTACCAATAGGTAATTCCTGTAACAAGGAGGAACTAAGGGAGTCACTACCTGAGGTGAGTGATTATAGCTTTCTGGGAAACGCATATGGGAGCTGGGTGAGACTGTGCCACGTGGCAGCATCTCTAATACAAAGGGAACTCAGTCCCCGAAATATTAAAGCTTTTACTAGCCTCAAAATATCAGAAACCCTTATGTAAATGGTCTATGTTTATCTGAGGGAATTTGGGGGTTTTAATGAAAATAGCTATGTTGTCTTTTCCTCTTTAAAAAAAAAAAGAATTTGTGCTCATTGTAAAAAAAATTCAAATAATATAGAAATATGTGAAGAAGAAAGTTAATACTATTCAATCCAATTTTGGTGACCAATGTAAAATTTGTGGGGTTTTCCTGACAAATAGCTAGATAGCTAGATATATAGATAGAATGCTATTTTCACCTTCTCTTTGTTCACCTGAAACTCTAGTGAGGTCATCTTTCAATCTCAGCAGATATAGGTTTATTATTTTTTTCTTTTAAATATTTTTTTAATTGTTGATAGACCTTTATTGTATTTATTTATTGATATGTGGTGCTGAGAATTCAACCCGGTGCCTCACATGCTAAGCAAGTGCTCCACCACTGAGCTACAACCCCAGCCCATGGTTTATTATTTTTAATGGGTATGTAATAAGTATCCAGTTGTATTAGTGTACTTTAATGTAACCAATCCCTATTTTTTTCCATTTTGCTATTACAATAGAATTTTGTTAAACACCTGGTATATACATTATTATATAGTTATGCTTTCTTAGAATAAATCCCAAGAAGTAAAATTGGTTGGTCAAAGAGTAGCTCTATTTTTAATACATTTAATTTTGTTATATTGCCCTCCAAACAGATTTGTATCACATATATACCCCCCAAAATATATGACAATTCTTTTTCCCCCATATTTTTGTTAGTACTGGGTCATAACAGTTTTTTAATCTGTGGAAATTTAATTGGGTGAAAAATAATATCTCATTTTGAAATTAATTTTTAACTATAAAGAAAAACATTAAAAGTATACTTATTTATAGAATATCGTGATGTTTTGATATATGTATATACACGTATATAAACTGTAATATTCATATCAGGGTAAACAAATCTACTCAAACATTATTTCTTTCTGGTGAAAATATTAAAAATTCTTTTCTTAGTTTTTTTTTTAAATATAAAGTACATTATTATTATGTATCGTTACCCTTCTGTATAATAGCATACCACAACTTTTTTGTGTGTGTGATGCTAGGGGTTGAACCCAAGACCTTGTGCATATGAGGCAAGCACTCTACCAACTGAGCTATATCCCCAGCCCCACAACTTCTTGATCCTACCTAACAGTAACTTACCCATTGATCAACCTCTTCCCATCCTACTCTCCTGCAATATTGCATTCTTAATTTACCTTGCTTTGGTTTCTAATGAGGTTGAATTTTTCTTATGTGCTTATTTTCTTTCCCCTTACAAATCTCTTTATTGCCTACTTACACTTGTTATTTGCCCTTTTTTTTCTTATTTAAAGAGCTCTTCATATAGTAAAAATAACAACTCTTTATTTTTTCCATTTTGTCTTTTGGTGTTTGGTTCTTTTTTTTTAATTAATTTTATTTTTTAACTACATGACAGCGGAAGGCATTACAATTCTTATAACACATATATAGCACAATTTTTCACATCTCTGAATATAAAGTATGTTCACACCAATTCATGTCTTCATACATGTACTTTGGATAATGATGTCATTCACATTCTACCATCATTGCTAACCCCTTGCCTCCTCCCTTCCCCTCCCACCCCTTTTCCCTATCTAGAGCTAGTCTCTATTCTATTTCTCCCATGCTCCCTCTCCCTACCCTACTATGAGTCAGCCTTCTTATATTAGAGAAAACATTTGGCATTTGTTTTTTTGGGATTGGCTAACTTTGCTTAGCATTTTCTTCTCCAACTCCATCTATTTACCTGCAAATGCCATGATTTTATTCTCTTTTATTGCTGAGTAAACTCCATTGTGTATATATGCCACATTTTTTATGGTGTTTGGTTTTTTAAATAATTTTTTCTGTGTAGAAGTTTTAAACTTATGTAATCAAATCTTAAATCTTTTTTCTTCTAGGATTCATAACAAACTCAACAGTCCTTATGCATACAATTATAAAAATAATCTTCTTATGCACTCTTCCTATCTCTAGCTATTCATTTTTACTATTTTCTGCAGCATTGGACATCAGCTTTTGTTTATGGGTTGATTTTAAGCATTCCTGCACAGGGCTTCCTCCCTTGCCTCCAGGTTACTCCTTACTGTATCCCTGTCCTGATAGAGATCCAACCCCAAACCTTAACCATTTCACTTACTTACAGCTGGCTCTACTCTCAATGTCCACCTTACCTACCCATCCAAAGAGATTTGGAAGGGGAAGGAAAATCACTTCTTTTCATAAATAGTTTTTCAGGAGCTTTCTTGGCAACCTTGACTGTGTAAACAAAGTTATACTTTCTAGGTATTAAATTCTCCCTGGAGTTTCTTTCTTTTTCTTCTTCCTTTCACTACTGATTAATCATAGAACACTTTGCTGTATATCACTGGAATTTCTTTTCTTATAAACAAACTTAATTGCTATTTCAATCTCTTCATAAAAGGCTCTCTTCTCCCTGTCTAAATTAAAACATGACTTTCACTGAGAACATATCCATTTTCCTCCATTTCTTTCATACTCTGCATACTATAATCCCTAAGATATTTGAGAGTCAGAGACAGGAAGGAACAGGTATATTGATAAGTGAAAGCAAAATTAAGTCTGTGAACAATCATGTACTGCAGATTCTTTGTCATGAGACCTTGTCTTTGTCTTGCAATATTCCTTTCTATTCCTATTTTTTTAAATGTTACAAAATAAGGTTTATTCTGCAATACTTTATCATAATGAATTGCATCTCTTTGGCAAAAATAAACTTTATAAACATTTTAATAATCAGAGATTAGATACAAAAGCTAATCATTTGTAAGTTGTTTTTAATATGAGCAAAGACTGGCAACTGAGAAGTGGTTTATTTGGACTGTCATCTACTGTTTCTAGCCCTCTTTTGTCCTGTGGGGCAAAAATAGTGCAACACAGTGATGCCACTGTACTTAGCACTCTGTTCCCTTCTCAGCTCCCCAGTCAGGCAGAAGACAATGAGAAACAAGACTCTCCCCAAACATCACTTAAGAATAGGGAATGTTGGGCTGGGGTTGTAGCTCAGTGGTAGAGGGCTTGCCTTGTGTGTGAGGCACTGGATTCAATTCTCAGCACTGCACTTTAAATAAATTAAAGGCCCATCGATAACAACAAAAAAAATATTTTAAAAAAAGAATAGGGAGTGTTTACCTCCTCACATCCTCAGGTTTGATTATCGGATAAGATTTGAGAGTTTAAAGATAGCTGTAAGTCATTCAGAATATCTGGGGTAAAAGTGGAACAAGAAGGGTCTGCCATGATTGGATTAGAAATAAGACCCAGCAATATGCTGTCTCCAAGAGACTCGCCTCATAAGCAAAGACACCCATAGACTAAAGGTGAAAAGATGAGGAAAAAATATATATCATTCACCTGGATCTCATAAACAAGCAGAGGTTTCTATCCTCATATCAGATAAAGTGGACTTTGAGTCAAAGTTAATCAGAAGGGACTAAGAAGGTCATTTCCCCTTAAGAGAATTATACATCAACAAAACATAAAAATCGTAAATTTTATGACCCAAACAGTGTGGCACCTAAGTACATCAAACAAACCCTTCTGAATTTTAAGAGTTGAATAGACCACAACACAAGAATACTGCATGACATCAACACACCTCTCTCATCACTAGATAGATCCTCCAAACATAAACTAAAGAAGCTATAGAACTGAAAAACACAATAATTTAGACTTAACAGACATATATAAAATTTTTCATCCCTCAATGACTAAATATACTTTTTTCTCAGCCACACATGAATCCTTCTCTAAAAGAGACCATACTTTAGGCCACAAAGCAACTCTTAGCAAATACAAAAAAATAGAGATAATTTCTTGCATTCTTTCAGATCATAATGGAATGAAATTAGAAATCAACAATAAAATAAAAAATAAAAGCCACCTGGAGACTAAAAAAATGCACTATTGAATGACCAATGGATTGAAGAAGAAATCAGAGATGAAATTTTAAAAAAATACTTAGAGGTAATGAGAATAGCAACACAAGTTATCAAAATCTCTGGGACACTATGAAGGCAGTTCTAAGAGGAAAATCCATTGCACTGAGCACATTATTTAAAAGAATAGAAAGTCACCAAATAAATAACCTAACATTACATCTCAAAGCCCTAGAAAAAGAAGAACAAATCAAGAAAAGCAGAAGACAGAAAATAATTAAAATCAGAGCTAAAATCAATGAAATTGAAACACACACACAGAAAAAAAAATTCAAAAAAATCAATGAAACAAAAAGTTGATTCTTTGAAAAAATCAATAAAATGGATAAACCCTTAGCCAAGCTAATGAAGAAAGAGAAAATGCACATTACTAATATTTGTGATGAAAAAGGAAATATCACCATGGACACTATTGACATACAGACAATAATCAAACTACTTTGAAAATCTATACTCCAAAAAAAGAGAAAATCATGAAGACATCCACATATTTCTAGAGACATATGACCTATCCAAATTGAATCAAGAGACATAGAAAATTTAAACAGATCAATTTCAAGCAATGAAGATGCCATCTAAAGCCTACCAACGAAGAAAAGCCCAGGACCAGATGGATTCTCAGCTGAGTTCTACCAGATCTTCAATGAGGAAATTATACCAATAGTCCTCCCATTATTCCACAATATAGAAAAGAAGGGAACCCTTCCAAACTCATTCTATGAGTATCACACTGCTAGTATCACACTGTTACCAAAAAGACACATCAATGAAATAAAACTTGAAACTAATATCCCTCAAGAAAATAGATGCAAAAATTCTTAACAAAATACTAGCAAATCACATATAAAAACATATTAAAAAGACAATGCACCAATCAAGTGGGGTTCAAATCCAGGGATGCAAGGTTGGTTCAACATACAGAAATCAATAATGTAATTCATCACATCAGTCAACTTAAAGACAAGAATCACATGATTATCTTGATAGAAGTAGAAAAAACATTTGACAAAATTCAACATCCATTCATGCTCAAAACATTAGAAAAACTAGGGATGGTAGGTACATACATCAACATTGTAAAAGCTATATGTGCTAAACCCAAGGCCAACATCATTCTAAATGGTTGAAAATTGAAAGCATTCCCTCTTAAAACTGGAACAAGACACATAATATGCCCACTTTCACCACTTCTATTCAACAGAGTCCTTAAAACCCTAGCCAGAGCAATTAGACAAAGAAATTAAAAAGACAATGCACCAATCAAGTGGGGTTCAATCCAGGGATGCAGATAGGAAAAGAAGAGCTCAAACTATCCCTATTTGCTGATGACATGATTCTATATTGAGAAAACAAAACAAAAAAATCCATTAGAAAGCTTCTTGAACTCATAAAAAATTCAGCAAAGTAGCAGGGTATAAAATTAACACCCATAAATCAATTGTGTTCCTATATACCAATGACGAAGCAGCTGAAAGAGAAATTTAGGAAAACTATCCTATTCATAATGCCTCAAAAAAAATTAAAAACTTGGGAATCAATCTAATGAAAGAGGTGAAAGACCTCTACAATGAAAACTATAGGACATTAAAGAAAGAAATGGAAAAAGATTTTAGAAGATGGAAAGATCTCCCATGTTCTTGGATAGCAGAATTAATATTGTCAAAATGGCCATACTACCAAAAGTGCTATACAGATTTAATGCAATTTCTATTAAGGTTCTGATGATGTTCTTCACAGAAATAGAAAAAGCAATCATGAAATTCATTTGGAATAATAAGAGGCCCAGAATAACCAAAGCAATCCTTAGCGAGAAAAGCAAAACAGGAGGCATCACAATACCAGACCTTAAATTATACTACAGAGTTATATTAACAGAAAAGAAGACACAGAGACAAACCCACATAAATACAGTCGCTCACGTCCTGCTCAGGCAGTGGAAACAGTTCCTCTGCGTGGCGAAGGCTGGCTGTGAAAAGACCACACAATAGGGAAGTAATTTTTTAGAAAGCAGGGGCAGGACTGCTTTATGACCTTATGGGCCAAGCTTCCACACTGGAAAGAGAGAGAGCACAAGAACCCACTTTATTTATACAAGGGGGCTTCAAAAGGAATTCAATGGAATGTTCTTTTGCCAAATAAGGTAGGAGGTGGGCTGTCCAAGCCTAATGGAAACGCCCAAGTCCAGAGCTATGAGAGCTGTCCCATTGGTAGAGCGAGGGCAGAAATCTCACACCTTGGGCAGTCTACACACGGGAATGCTGGGGATCGTTCCCAAGGGGAGATCTAAGTCCCCATGGGTCAGTACTGAGTAAAAGACCACTCCAGTAGTGTCACAGGTGGCGTACCACATACAGTTATTTCATCCTAGACAAAGGCACCATAAACATACATTGCAGAAAAGATAGCCTCTTCAACAGGTGGTGCTGGAAAAACTGGAAATCCATATATAGCAGAATGAAATTCAACCCCTCTCACCCTGCACAAAAATCAACTCATAGATCAAGGACCTAAGCCTTAGACCAATGACCCTGTGCCCACCAGAAGAAAATGTAGGCCCAACTCTCGATCATGTCGGCTCAACTTTCCTCAAGACTCCAAAAGCACCAGAAGTAAAATCAAGAATCAGTAAATGGGATGGTATCAAACTAAAAAATTTCACAACAAAGGAAACAAAGACGTGAAGAGAGAGCCTATGGGAAAAATCTTTGCTCTCTGCACCTCAGCTAGAGCATTAATTAATCTCCAGGATATACATAGAACTCAACACCAAACAAATAACCCAATCAATAAATGGGCAAAGAAACTGAATAGGCACTGCACAGAAGAGGCAATTAGAGAAATGCCAATTAAAACTACATTACTACATTGAGATTCCATCTCACTCCAGTCAGAATGGCAATTACTAAGGATACATTGGTGTGGATGTGGGGAAAAAGGTTCACTGATGCATTGCTGGTGGGACTACAAATTGGTGCATCCACTCTAGAAAGCAGTATGGAAATTCCTTAGAAAACTTTTAATGGAACCACCATTTGATCCAATGGCCCACTCCTCAGTTTATACTTAAAGGACAGTGATGCAGCCACATAATTATAACAGCTCAATTTACAGTAGCCAAGCTATGGAACCAGATGAATGGATAAAGAAAATGTGGTTCATATACATAATGGAATTATTACTCAGCCATAAAAAATGAAATTATGGCATTTGCTCTCAAACAAATGGAACTGGAAAAATATCATGCTAAGTGAAATAAGCCAGTCTCAAAAAAAACCCAAAGGCTGAATGTTCTCTCTGATATGTGGATACTAACCCATAACAAGGGAGGGTAGGGAGGGGAGGAATAGATTCATTGGATTAGATAAAGGGAAATGAAGGGAAGGGAGGAGGGGTTATAAATAGGAAAGACAGAATTAATCCGAAATAACTTTCCTTTGCTCCTAAATGAATACATGGACTAGTGTGTATTATGTACAACCACAAGAATGGAATCCTGATTGGAGTTGTACTCCATGTATGTATAATATGTCAAAATATACTCTACTGTCATGTATATCTAAAAACAGCAAATAAAAAAAATTAAAAAAAAAAAAAAAGAGTCTGCCAGGTAGTGCTCAGCTTGTCTCCTGTGGGAAGGATCTCTTGTGGCCCAAGCAACTGGATGGTTCAGGTGAGAGCTGTAAGTACCTGAGAAACCAGCACAGTATTTATCTTGCTTTTCCCTTCTCAAGAGTTCTCATCACATTCCAGAAACTACCCCCAAGTTGATCTATAAAATGTCAAGCTATTGACAGCTTTGTTCTGGCTTATATGTTCCAGAAAGAAAAAGATAACTTCAAAAAGCTGGCCAGTCCTGCCTTTCCATTTAATGACAAGACTTTGGTGGAAGCAGTAAAAAAAGATTACCGGGTGCATTTGTTTTTCCTCTCCCTCTCATTATGTCATACTGTGATGTCACAAGAGAAAGTAGAAGGTGAGGGAGGCCTGAGGCTTCATGGACTGAGAATGTGTCATAGTGTAGGTGGGTTGGAGGTGAGGTGGTTTGATATGATTTGTATGGCTTAATCTGAAAAAGAACTTTCCAACAGGGAGTATTGTCCTGCAATAGAACATGTAGTCAAGACAAGTAATTAGCTGGGAGATACTCAAATAAGAAACCACCTCTTGGTTTTGGGGGACTTTCGTTTGTTTCTTTGGTACCAGGGATTAAACCCAGGGGTGCTTAACCACTCAGCCACATCCCCAGCCCTTTTTTAAATTTTTCATTTTGAGACAAAATTGCTAAATTGCTGAGGCAGGCCTTGAACTTTTGATCCTCCTGCCTCAGCTTCCTGAGCTGCTGAGATTATAGGCATGCACCACCATGCTGAGTTGGATACCTCTTGGTTTAAAGAAAGATTCAGTCATTGAACAGGGTTCACACTTAATGCCATTTAGGGAACTTCTGAATTGTCCCCAAGAGTAATCCTACCATCTCTGACAAGACTTTCTAAATAATGAGTTTAGTTGTCCTCTTATTTTCTTTTTCTTTTTTTGGCTGCTGTTGTTGACACAGGGTCTTGCTATATTGTTACCCAGGCTGACAGTTGAATGTTATCATTCTGCCTCAGCCTAACCAGTAGCTGGGATTGCAGATGTGTATACTACCACATCTAGTTTATCTTAGTTATTTCAGTAACCAAATGTAGCAAAATCATTGATTAATTTATCCAAAATTTTTCAAAAAATAATGAGTGAGAAATAAATGATTATAAATTAAGATTTTTTTCTTAACAAGAAAAATATATAGCTGGGTGTGGTGGTACACACCTATAATCCCAGTGACTTGGGAGGAGGATCCCAAGTTTGAGGCCAGCCTCAGCAACTTAGTGAGATCCTCAGCAACTCAGCAATACCCTGTCTCAAAATAAAAAAAGAAAAAGGAGTTGGGATGTGGCTCAGTGGTAAAGTGCCGCTGGGTTCAATCTCCATACTTAAAAAAGAGAGAGCGAATGTACACAACCAAATGAATAGTGTACTTTAAAGTCAATAGTCTCTTAATATTACCACCAGTAATGCCCTATATTTATGTTACTTTACAGTTTTATAGCTTTCATTTATCTTCTATGATCTTTACAATAACCCTCTGAGGTTATTGTTCTGAGGCAGAACAGAAAACATGATCCCAATCTTACTGAGAAGGAAACTAAAGTTGAAAGAGATTGTGGGCTTGGGTTGTGCCTCAGTGGCAGAACACTTGCCTAGCATGTCAATCCTTAGCACCACATAAAAATAAACAAAATAAAGGCATGCTGTCTATCTACAACTACAAAAACAATTACAAAAAAAAAGAAATTGATTTTTTAAAAGAGATTAAGTTACTTGCCTAAAATCCTATAGTTCAGAAGGTTAGAGATAAACCAGGTGCAGTGGCATGTGCACACCTGTAATCTCAGCGACTTGGGAAGCCAAAGGAGGATCACAGGTTCAAAGCCAGCCTCAGCAAACTATAGAGAGGCCCTAAGCAACTTACTGAGACCCTGTCTCAAAACAAAAAAAGAGTTGAGGATATAGCTCAATGGCAAGACATCCCTAGATTCAATCCCCACTACCACCAACAACAAAAACCCTGAAGGGTAGAGATAAGAATCCAAATTTCTTATCTCCTGGCCCTGTGACCATAGCAGCCTCCCCATTATGTTTCTTTGTGTCTGCCATTGCAACAAGATGCTATTATTTAAAGCATATTTGGCCTCAATTGTCCAGTAGATATTTCTTATGTCTGACCTAAAATTATCCCCTTACCTTCCATGTTCACAAGTATAAGACTCTGATGATGCCTGTTTTAAAAATCAAATTGACCTTCAGAAGAGAAATAGCCAAAAAAAAAAAAAGATACATGTTGTGATAATAGTCTAATAAAGGAGTTCTAGAAATATCCTGATTAATACCAGATTGAAAGCTGATTCAACAGAGTGAGTCATTTAACTTCTCAGGGTGAGTTAAAGGTGATAATATGCATCTACACATTTATTTTAAACTGCTTACTAAATCATCTGTCTTTTATCTTGCATAGCAGTGTTTAGCCAAGTGTGGCCAGTCTTCTGCAGCAATTTATGCCACACGCATGAGAATCCACTAAGAGATTTATTAAAAATTCAACTTCCTAGGTCCTTCTTCCAAATTTTGTGATTGTGGATTCAGTACGTTTGAGTGGGGCCCAGGAACCTCATTTTTAATAAGCTCTCTGAACCATCTTTACCCATAAAGTTGGAATGGAATGCCTGTTTTGTTTGTATACATTGCAAATATCATTTACCTGTGTGATATTAACTCAGGTCTATGAAACAAGTTGGAAATATTGGAAAGGAAAAGAGATTGACATGTTTTATGCAACCTGCCCTTTTAGCACCAGACTTGTGAAGAAGTTTTGAGGAAAGATGTACCCTCCTGGGCTCCATCTTTATTTAAGCCACTTGTCACTTCTGGGTGGACTTCAGCAGCTCATCTCTGTGGGCTCTAGTTGCCCTCTTCTCTCCTGTCAGGTGAGCTGGTGTACCAGGCTCAGTCCCCAGATGAAGGTGCCCTGGTCACTGCTGCCAGAAACCTTGGCTTTGTGTTCCGTTCCCGCACGTCTGAGACTATCACAGTGGTTGAAATGGGAAAAACCAGAGTCTATCAGCTGCTGGCTATTTTGGACTTCAACAATGTGCGCAAGAGGATGTCTGTTATTGGTGGGTGTCCCTTCTAGTCAGCGCGCTCGCGCGCGCGCTCTCTCTCTCTCTCTCTCTCTCTCTCTCTCTCTCTCTCTCTCTCCTTTATACATATTCACAATTGACTTTCTCTTTCATCTACACACAGATGTCTTCTCCCACTCATGTGTCTTCTCACAGGTATAGTTCCTCAAATATAAACACACATCCATTCCCACTTTGTCTTATCTCTTTTGAATTTTCTCTCATACATGTATGGGCGCTCACTACCATGTACTAATAAATCCTTCTCTAGTGTTTCTGAGTAGTGGCTTGTCAGCACCCTCAAAGTCAAATAAGAACATAGAATAAATTCATAAAGCCTGAACATGGTGTAAGAAATGGAAGCAAATAATACAGTCAGCCCTCTTAGGTTCCATATCAGACTCAAACAACTATAGATTAAAAATATTTGAAAAAAAAAAGTTGCATCTGGATTGGGGGCATAGTTTATTGGTAACTTAGTGTGCTTTTCATGAATAAGGCCTGAGAATCAATCTCCGCACCAAAAAGAAAGAAAAAAAAACAAACAAACAAGTTCTGTCTGTACTGAAAATGTACAGACTTTTTTCTTGTCACATTCTCTAAACAATTTAGTATTATAACTATTTATATAGTACTTACATTGCATTAGGCATCATAATTTAGAGATGATTAAAGTATACAGGTGCTGGGAATGGTGGCCCACACCTGTAATCCCAGCTTCCCCGGGAGGCTGAGGCAGGAAGATCAGGAAGATCGAGAGTTCAAAGCCAGCCTCAGAAAAAGCAAGGCACTAAGCAACTCAGTGAGACCCTGTTTCTAAATAAAATACAAAATAGGCCTGGGGATGTGGCTCAGTGGTTGAGTACCCCTGAGTTCAATCTCCAGTACCTTCCCTGTCCAAAAAAAAAATAATTATATATATATATATATATATATATATATATAAAAAAATATAGGAGTATGTTTGTAGGTTATATGCAAACATTATGTTATTCTATATAAGGGAATCAAGCATCTGTGGATTTTGGTATCCACAAGGATGGGGGGGTATCCAATACCCTAGGATACTGAAAAATGATTGTATGGGAAAATTTATACTATCTGGCTTCCTCTATCAGTTTGGCCTCAGACTGAAGAGAAAGAAGGTCATTTTTCATCTTTTGTCCTTACTAAGTTGGGCTTTGGTCTGAGACTTGGAATTGATAAGCTAAATGTCATTCTGCATCAGAGTCTTCCACAAGTGATATTAAACACCTTCCATAGATGCCTTTGTTGCTCTCATCAGCCCTCACCATATCATTTATCCTATGTGACCACTCATTGAGTTCTTAGCCTCCAAAGGCAACACAAACAAATGTCATGGGAAATAGCCTCTTGCCAATCCTCAGTGGCCCAGATAATTTCTTATAACAATAGGCTTAAATGGTTGTTTTGCTTAATTTATCTTTAGTTCGGACTCCTGAAAATCGGGTAATATTGTTCTGCAAGGGAGCAGACACCATCATCTGTGAGCTGCTTCATCGTTCCTGTGTAGCCCTTAATAAAGTGACCATGGAACATTTGGATGTAAGTCTTTAGACTTCAGGAGAGGAATGGTGCATCTGGACACATGTCCACAAATGTGTCCCCATGTCAATGTATTTCTGTTGTTACCAGCAGCCAAGGAATCTACTTGGATCACAGCTGGCCAGATTCAGCTACCCACCTGCATAAAAAATAGACAAACAATGGAAAAATGAATTTTATGCCATCTCATCAAACTGAGGAGCAGCAGCTAGACTGCTTCTCTGCAAGTCCCACAGAAGTGGTTATAATTTATAGAAACAAAAGCCAGGTGGTATGTAGATGTAGCTAGGCTATACTGGACAGTGAACATAGCAGTTTCAGCTTCCTTGACATTGCTGAGCCAAGGGATAGTTTTTATTCTCTCAGCTCAGGAACTCTGTTTCATTCTATGGGTGTATACTGGTATCTGTGTCTCTTTAGTTGGTAGAAAACTAAAACTGTCTCATTCTGTGGTATTTTTACTGACGATATTGCCAACTTCTATGTCAAAGACTTGAGTGGGACAGCACCCCATAGGCATGACAATAATTGTATTTATGGGAACACTTGAAGTAATCAGAATTGTTCAGTCCTGAGTAGTCCTCCTTTAAGAGGTCCCATGGTCAGATCTGGTGTTTGTTTCAGAAGAGGACCTGCTGATATGGGAGGCCTTATCCACAAGCCATGATGAAAACAGGAGCAGAAAGTACCTGGCCTGAGATTCTGAGGAGGCTATTTGATATCTCCCTCTGTTGTCTACAGGATTAGAATCCCCAAGGGCACATCCTTTCTCCCTATCTTCTTCTTCTTCTGCCCTGTAGTATTTGGTATACATCAAAAAGAGACTGGTTCCAGCTGCTGGCATGAGAAAAGAAAAACAGATCTATACATCTGGGGTCTCTACACCTAAGCATGGGTGTACAAAAGATTAGGGGAATGAGGAGAGAACAAAGAACAGGATGGAGAGTGTTTCAGATTATATATATATTATATTATGTATATTATAATATATATTATATAATATATAATATATAATATATAACCTGA